CCCCCAAACCAAAACAACTCCAAACTATGGGAAGATACTTTATTAACGGGCTTTTATTCTTTTGAATATTTTTTATAGTGGGACGTGCTAATTCTAGAATTAAAAATAATTAATTGTTAATTATCCATAGCACCCTTGACTTCTCCAATTTGTTGTTTGTCAGCATGTAATTTATAATGACTGCTGGTTCCAGCCTCACTTTCAGGAATGCAGTCTAAAAATGCAAGGTAGAAAGCGATGAATGCGTGAAAGACTAAAGGCAGGGTGTGACTTTGGTGGCAATTAGATATAATTTGAAGAATAGCTGACTTCAAAAGCATTGACCATTGCCACCTTTTACACTGCGAGAGTAAACAGGCTAGGCAGACACTTGTCTGTGGCCACAGCATGGTTGGCATTACAGTCAGCAGTGTGTAGTGGTGTAGTCCAGACTAAGTTTTCCTTAGCACATGTCTACAGCTCGTGGCCTAAGAGAGACCAACTCTTTTTCTAGAGGAGAGTTTAGCTGTCATCTTTCTGTTTGGTTCCTGGGATTCTTGGAGTCCCATAGTACCTTAAACTGGAAGCAAGTCTTTCACTGGTCACTTAAGGGGGGTGCTGTGATGGACACCAGAGTTCAGCTTTCCTTTGTCGTATGCTAGGCTAGGTAACTGGTGATGTTATCCTCATTTAAAAAGGCTGTTAAGTCAGGTCTTGGGTTTTCTTCCATAATCTCCTATATTCCTCCTGCATTGCAGCTGCAGCTGTGGAGGAAGCTGTATCTAGCAAACTGAACTATGTTTTAGGAGCGGGGGGGAGTGGAGGACAGAAGGAACAGCAGAGGAGAGAAACACATTCCTGAGAGTCCTTGCTAGGGAGCATGAAGGGTATGGGAGGCTGCTCAGTTATAAAAGTTGTCCTCCACCCTTAAGCAGCTGTTCTGGTTTTGTGTGTTGCCATGCAGTGTTTGAACATCTCGGGAAGCCACAGATGTTTGACTTTGATTCATAGGCAGATTTGATCCTTATTCCTAATGCCAGAGCCTTCTGGCTAAGATTACCCTGACACAAATCCTGCTCCCAGCTTCCACTTCACTAAGGAGCAACATTTTTGGTACATGTCAGGTCTGGCATTTGGTCCTCAGCTGTTTTATGGCCACTTCCTGTGTTTATATCTGGAGATTTTGTCTTGGCTGTGGACATGAGATTTACTCAGAATTATGACAATTTTCTGTGAACTTTAAGTAGTTCCTGACACAGATGTTTTAGAGAGAGAAATGCACCTTTGTATTCTGTGGCTTCAAAAAGTATTAAATTGAGAAAACCAAGTACATTAACAGCACAGCTTAGATCAGCTGTTCTTAATGTGTTCCAGTATGAAAACAACTTTTGTGACTGGCTGGTGTTAATACACTATTAGATATAAGTGTCTGTATTCTGATAGTCTGAGGGCATCCTCTCCATTGTTCTTATGCTTGTAATCCAGTGTTGGTCTAATACTGTGAATATGTTTGCATGAGAATAAGTTTTCTACTAGTTTTTATATGATGGAAACAGTGAAAGTAGCCAATTCTATGCAATGAAACAAGGAGTTGAAACAGAGTTTGGCTGGAACCTAACAGCTGTTTGATCTATATCCAGCTGTAGGGCCCAGATGTGCCTTCCCTCCATCATGTGGTGGTGGTGGGAAATAGCCCAGAGAACCAGCCTGGTGCTTCAGGAGCCTGTGGTAATTCAAAGATGATCTGGAATGAATCAGGTGGTGGAGGGGCTGTATGTCTCCCTTCTCCCATGATATCTCTTTCTGCTTTGCTTTATACTTATTTCTTGACCTGCCCCTCATCTTGTCAGTCATTTGATGTTTTGTTTTGTACTTCTTTTTCAGTTGAGCTTATTCTGTCTTAAAATTTTCCCTTTGGAATAGAGCTTTAATTGCTGAGCAGATGTGTTGTCTTCATTCTGCCTGTGCTAACTGCCTTTATCTCTCCCCTTCATCTTGAATCTTAGACTTTTAGCTCATTAAGTCCTGTGGAGCTAGAACTCTTTGCTAGTTAAACACACTAAAAAAAAATATTCTTATCAGATCTTGCTGCAGTTCTGTAAACAAGCTATTTAATCATGCTTTTATGCTAATGCCAAAGAAACAAATAAAAATTGTTTGCACTGTGATTATAAACAAACAAATACAAAATTGCAGTCTAAATATTGAGATACTTTTCCTTCCTTGGTTGTGGTTCTGCACCCCCTGTAATGCTTTCTGAAACAAGATTAAACTCTGGAGACTTTAATTTAAGTTACTTTATTTTCTTCTATAAATTATTAAAAAAGAAATTGACATTGCCTGAAATCCTTCATGGTCTGAAGCTAGAGAAGAGGCAGAAGCCAAAATGTAACTGTGCAGGAATGTGCTTAGATATAAAACCTAGGATGTAACTGTGGGAATGCCTTTAGATGCAAAAACTGGAATGCAACTATGTGTTAGTGAAATCTGCAAAAAGCTGGGAATGTCATGTTCAATGTTTGAGAACTTCAGGCAATTGGCAGTGTTATTCGGAACTATTCTTATAAAAACTGCTTTTCTTGAGTTTGGGGCCTGATCCAGTCCTTTTTTATTTTTTGTTCTTGGCTTGAACTCGTGTGAACTAGAATGGAATTAGCAAGAGACAGTAAAGCTGTGGTTCTGGGTACTCTCTCCTCAGCAGTAAGGCCGGCTTAAGAAATTCCTGCTCCAAATAGTACTTCCCTGTCTGTCTTGCCTTTTCCAGGAAGAGTTTTTCCTAAGAGTGAAATGTATCCCATCCAATTTTCCAAAAAGCATTACAGAAGCCTTCCTATAATTTTTTTTTTCCCAAGGCGGACCACTACTGGTGACCAGTGTGGCTCCGTGAACAGTTGTGCTGGAATGACTGAAAGAATGAGGCACCCTGTGATGGGAGCAAGGGATGGGAATACAGCTGTTCCTACCAACCTCAGTGTAATGTGAAATCTGAGCCTAATTGAATAGATTTCTGTAGTGTAGCATTCATTGCCAGAAATTAGTACATTTAAGCTATCAAGGCAATAGCGTGATGAAACAGCAATGTTCATGAATTCTCTGAACAAAGTGTCATCCTTTCTTAGTCTTCTATTTTTGTAGGTAGCAATAAGCAAGGAAGGAGGTGTCAAAGGAAACATCAGCTCTTAAGCAAAAAAAGTTATGCTTTAGAAATGCTTCACGAAAGAAGCTTTTGCTGGCAAGTAAAATTTGACTGGCCTGAAAGTTGCAACCAGTCTAGACTAGAGGCAAATGATGTAAACAAGTGTGCCATCTGAACTTACTGCTAAGGCAGTTGACTTGTGGCAAATGCTGTTTTTCATAATCTCATTGCAAGGGCCTTCATTAAATAGCTGTAGGTTCGTAGGTTTGCAGGTTTGAGCCAGATAGTCACCAAAAGAATTACTTAAGAGATTTCACTCAGACTTTTAGTTTCTTTCCTTTCTTATTACCTTCAAACATATAGACCATTGGTTATACAAGAAGAGAGGAAACCTATTTCGATGTGACAAACATTAGGATTAATAAAATTTCATCTCAAATCTTTATTACTAAGCTGTATGTTTTATCAGTGATGTGGTTTTTCTTTGTACTGTCATATTTCCTGCAATTCTTGTGGTTCTCTAAAATCTATGCTTTTTTATAGTTGATGTTTAAGTGAAATTGTGATGGCAGTAAATGAGTTAAATTAACATGTCCCTGCCCCTTCCTCCCAGTCCCAGAGTATTTTTGTGTAAAGTTTTACAGGAAAACATTTTTTAACCATGCAGGGCAGCTTTAGAAGAAGTAGAAGGAGATGTGACAGAACTGGAACTGAAACTTGACAAGGTAAGCTTTTTAATTCAAGCATGTCTGCTCTGAAAAATATAAAAAGATGTGTTTAGGTTTTGTTTTAAAGTTCACAGCTGGGAAGTGGCAGTGGCTGTTCAAGCATTCTGCTCCTGCAGAGGGAACGGATTTGGGTCGAGGGCACAGCTGGGCCTCAGAGACCCAAGCTTGAGTAACAGCAGTAACAGCCAGTGTGAACTTGCTTTCTCCCCCAGCTGAGGGTTTGGATTGTGCAATACTCTCCTGACTGTATGGCCCCCTCACACTCATGTGATTCAGCTCCACAGTGGGAGCCACATGCAAACTAATTCAGCTTTCAAGTGAGTTAAAAGTCAGGGGTTGGCCATCCCTGCACTTAGAGCTTATGTTTTATGACAACTGCATACTGTAAGGACATCTGGATACTCTTTGTTTTAGAGATTTAAAGTCAGTGCTTTCTGTATTTGGTAGGCTGTGGCACAGTCACAGCAGGATAGGTATAGATATCCTTCACTTTCGTGTGGAGGACTTAACCACTGTAAAATTCATCCTGCTTTTTGTCATGCTTTGTGCATGTATATAAAAGGTTATATGTCGCATCTTTTCCGTGCCTTACAATCAATTTATTGGTTTTGTTACCAGTAGTATTTGGAGGCTTTTGTTCCTTCTTTGCTAGTATTTTGAGGGTGGCTTACTTTTGTTTTACATCTGTACAAAGACTCCTTTCCTTAGCATTTTATGTTAAATGTTTAAAATTTTTTTGCCTATGTTTTAATATGGTAGGCAGATGTCATTTGTTCACCTCCTTAGCTACCTTTTTAATATGAACTTTTATTTCTACAGCAGTGGGTTAGCTGCAGAAAAATAGAGGTGAAGTCAGTGTCCAGTGTTAAGTCTGAAGACTTTTTGTTACTACTTGTAATATTTCTACCTTTTGTTGTTAATAATGTAACCATTTGCTCTTTCAAAATAAATTTAAGATACTTGATTTTTGATTTGGTGTGACTTTTGGTGAAACTGATGGGCATAAGACACATTTTTACTGTATGGGTGATGAATCTCTTTTGGTAGATTAAACCATGTAAGTATTTAAAGGATCTGAAAAAATCTATCTTGGAAGTTTGTGTTTTCCACTAATCTGAAAGGGTCATTTTGGGGGAAAAGAATTCTCAAATTCCATAAGGGGCGCTATTCAGGGCCTTGTCCCCAGCCTCTTGCATGAAGCCAGTGCCAGGTATACCATTCTACCATGTAAAAGCTATAATTGTAGTATTACTCTTTGCCCTGAGATTGTATCCTAGTATTCTTTAAAACAAAAACACCCAAACCCATTTACTTCCCTGACAGGAAAGCAAGTACACGAGGTAAGTATTTAAGTAGTTCAATTGCAATGTGCAGTCATCTAGTATAACACTTAAGTTGAAAGCCAAGCTTCTTGTGTGAGCTGAAGTAACTATGGCCTGAGGGTAATGATTTGTCTAGACTGGTTGGTGACTTTTTCTGCTCAGTTATACTAAACTTATTTTTATTGTTCCACAATTGTGACTTTGGGCGATATTATCTGCATTTTTTTTTTTCCCCCCTCTGGAAGAAAGGACACTGGGTTCAGGATTGTGAACCACAAGAAAAAGTGAAGGAAAAAAAGGATCATGTTGGTAGTGATTTTTCTGTCCATTGTTCAAGCAACTTGGCCATTCATCAGAATGTGGGAGATGATGCTCAGATTTCTTCTTTTCCTAAGAGGGTCTGAGCCAATATAAAAATTACTGGGTAAATAAAGAAGGTCACTTGGGTGGTTTCTTTGCCCCAACATAGGATCAAGTACTTCTGTGTTGTTCTTCATGAAAATTTGTCTAACATCCTTGAAAAATATTTCAGAGGCAAAGGTTCAGTCTTCTGATTTTATTCTCAGTTTGGTTTAGGATGGGGGAACTCAGTTATAATATGCCTTCTCTCAAGAGAGCATCTTGGTGATCACACTAATCATTCTTTCTTTCATTAATGGCCCAGTGCATAAGTGGTTCAAAAAGTGGGAAAACATTCATCACAAGATACTGTTGGTCTTCATATCAGACTCTGCAGTACCATGACAGCTAAGGTGCTGACCTAAGCAATGAGTGGTAGGGATGGAAACTCATCAGAGAAGTACTAGTCTGTTGTATGAATGAAAACATGATTGATTTTGCCTTCTAAGATGTAACCATCTCTCTTCAGTTGTGCTTTGTGCACATAGCCTTTTGCTTTCTTGTGCCTGTGTTCAGAGTGTCTCAAGATGAAACAACCGGTGTGGGTTTGTTTTGGGTTCTTTTAGCTCGGAAACCACAAAACACTTATATGCTTGGGTTCTAACCAGTTATGTTTTAGTTGCTGCACTTTTTGCCCTCATACAGCCCTCTCTCTTGAAATACATGCAAAATCTCCGTTAACAAAAAAACAAATAAAAAATAATAACAAAAAAATTATAAAGAGTAGTAACCTTCTCAATGGCATATCAGTTGACCTAGAATAGTATTTTTATAGCTGTCACTATACAATAGAAAGCTTTTCATAGAATGTGGGGCTCTGTAAATTTGGAATTTAACTTCTGAAATCTTTGTTTCTTAGATGTAACTAAGCTCAGTGTGTTTCATGGTTATATGGTGATGTAAAAAATAAAAAACAAACACCAAAAACTTCTACTTTATCATTTTTTCCTCCTCTTAGCTGGTGAAGCTTTGTATTGCAATGATTGATACTGGGAAAGCATTCTGTACAGCCAACAAGCAGTTCATGAATGGAATTCGAGACCTTGCACAATATTCCTGTAAAGATGCGTTGGTTGAGGTAAGCTCTTTGAGAGATGAAAATGGAAGGAGAAAAACATAATTTAAAAGGGGTAAAATATAACAGTTGGCAAGAGTAATAGTTGAAGTTTATTATTTACCTTTTTGCTCTTTTTTTTTCTTTGAGATGTCTTAAGAGTGAGCTTTTTTGACTGTGGTGCACTGCAAGGGTCCGTGCTGTTTAGTTTCAGCTTTAACCTGCAATGTCAAGGGGTTTCCAAATTCCAGAAAATATGTGTTAAGCTAGGAGTAGTCATCTTGCGAGGAGTGGAGAAAGTCAGGTTGAAGCTGTGGACAGCTGCCCTGTTTACTTTGCTAAATAAAGGGGTTCTAGTCATGAGGTCCTAAAACCCAGTTCTCTGCAACTAAATTCCCGGAGTCGATCTCTTGTGTCCTGGAACTTGCACTCTCTAATACACAGAAATTTAAATGTTTAAGTGTACAGAGCCCACTTTGATGGTGTAACCTCAGACTAATGTCTTGTTAGGCTAATTTGGAACACCTAATATTTCCTGTCTGTTACTTTGAAATGAGGTATGAAATTGTGTAATATGCAGGTATAATTATATGCACGTCTCTGTGTATATCATCTATGTTTAATGCGTGTTATGTAATAGCACATCAATTGTACGTATGCATCTTCACACACTGGTTGAAATAGATAATGCCTGTAAACTTCAATATAGTCTATGTGCAACTGAAACTGTTGTCTGGAAATTTACTTGCTAGAAACAGTGCGATGGCAAACTAGTAAAACTTATATTATTTGATTCCAAGTAGGTTTTTGTTACGCTTGTTGTGTAAGCAATAAGCTGTTATACAAATATATTAGGGATTGTTGTTTTCTAACTGAGACATTGATTCTATAGATTGATGTCAGTGTTGCTAAGCATATCAGCTGTGAGGCAGTAGTTACTACAATGTGTGTGTACTGATGACTACAACATGTTAACCAGGTTTTTGGTGTTAGAGTATTGAATGTTAATAAATATTTAGTAGTATAATATTAAATATTGTAAATTAATGTGTTTAAATTAAGTTGACTAAACTATGGAAGTTCACATAATTTGAATTTTTCCTACTTTGCCTCAGTTTGGTCCTTTACATATAGGTAGGTAGCAGTAACATTTTTGTTGCTTGTAGCTTTAATAGATTTACTTGATATTACCCGCATGTTCTCCTAGCATAATGGTTTTAGTTTAATAGTCATGCTAAGGAAAATCAACTCCCAAGTTCTTTACTGAAAAGCTGTAAACCTCTGAAACATTGTTTTTGTGCTGTGTATTTTGTAGGGCTTAACTTAAACCATTTTGTTTTTCTCTTTACAGACCAGTTTGACAAAATTCTCTGACACCTTACAGGAAATGATCAATTATCACAATGTAGGTATTTCTAGCTGAAACATGACACTGATAGCTTACCTCCAGTTATATTTGATAACAGAATAATGCTAAAGTTTTTCTTGTTGATAGTATTTGCAAAGTCATAGTTTAAGTAGTATTAAATACCTCTCATTTTATAGTTGTAAATATTTTATTTATATTTTGTTTATGAAGTATATAAATATCCCCTTTTCTGCAGATTTTTATCTCGCTTTATTTTTTGTTTGGAGCTTGTAAGCTTTACTAAAACCCAGTGCTGTAAGACAGAGTAAATACTGGATTGTTTCATCTTTTTTTTAATCAAACTGATGGGCAGTAGTGACAAAGTATGAGCATATTTCTTTGCTGGACTGAAATAATGATTACCTCTTCCATAATTTCTACTTTTTTCCCCCCATCCTTTATAATGCATAAAATGAAGCACCTCTGATTTGTGTGTAGTTTTCTTTTTGGAAGTATGACGGATTTAGACAAGTGTAGAGAAAGGAGAAAATGCTAGCATTTAAGACTAATGGTGATTTTTAGCACGTCAGGCTTCAATGGAAAGCTCAGTTTTGCCTGGATTGAAAACTGATTTATTTTTTTCTCCTCTGAAGAGTTTAGTCTTGTATCCTGAAAGCCAAAGGGATGTGTGTGTTCTTCTGTTTTCTTCCTCTTTCCTTGGCCCCTATTGTCTTTCTTTCACTTTCCAGCAAATTGCTGGAAAGCAACTGAAGTGTCTCCAAAGTGCTGAAAATATGCAGGACACTCAAATTTTTTAATTTTTTTTTTTAATACCACTAGGCATTTAAAATGTAATGAGATACAGAGGATGCAGTTCAAACAGCTTCAGCTGAAAATAAGTTCATTAGCATTAACTTAGCTGCTTAGAATTGTCGTCTTAATAATTTTTTTGAAAATGCATTCTTTCAGAAGGGAAGGGAAACAAAGGGAAGCAGGCTAGTGCTGTTGAGTTGGATTTCCTTTCCATTACATGAGATGTACATAGCTACACCTAATACAATGAAAACTGTAAAGAGGGGAGGAAGTGGACAGTGATACTTTGATGGTATAGAAAAGCTAGTGCAAAGGTTCAAAGCAGCAGTAGTGGGAGAAAGTGTTACTTTCATGTCAGTGATTTCTGCAGATTAGATTGAGCAGATGAATCAAGTTGGCTGTAGCTATTTTAAACTCTTCATCACACTTCTTGCTGCTGGTTACCCTCTTAACCATGTTTTTGCTATATGGTATGCTCTTTGACACATCTGACCTAGGTCCTCTATTCTTGCTGCTGTTATTGTTCTACGTGATTGTGGATTACAGTGCTCTGGTAAAATTTGGCACAGCACAACTGTCCCTCTAGGGCAGTTTGAAGGCAGAAAGCAAAGAACAAGCTATATTAAAAGAAGATTTATTTGCAGACTTAAGTAGGACCACTCTGAGTTCTGCCCTGCTTTTTTTCCCTCCACTTCCTTGCTGTGCTCGAGCACAGTCAGTAGAACCAGTGCCTTTATCAAAAGGCACAAACATAAAAAGTGAGGCATGTTATGGTGTTCTGATGTAGAGCTTTGCCAGACAAGTTGTGGTCCCTGCGTTGCTTTTTGTGAATCTATTTGGTTCAGCTGGACTTATTAGCTCAGAGTGTCAGCTCTGTTGTTGTCCTAGTTGGCAGGAGAACCATCATGAGTGAGAAGAAGCTAGAGGAAGAAAGAGGAGAAGTAGGCATCTTCCAGAAGAAGGAGGGAAGGGGTAGGAGGTGGTCCCACTGAGATCTGGATGACTGTCAGTTTTCTCATATGAGGCTTTGCTACAAATAAGGCTAGGAACCAGACTAGTGCAGCATCTTCACTGATTCAGTAGTGGGGGAGTAGCTTTGACAGCTTACAGCAAATAGCAGCTTTCTTAGACTTGGTTTGGAGTGTGTGAAAGGTAATGTGTTAGGCTGTAAATCTAGTCAGATCGTGGTCTGGGCACTTTTTTTCTGTTCTTTTAAGGAAAAAAAATGTATACATATTTTTCTGCCTAGCACTTTTTTTCTCTTCATTACTGTAAGCAGAATTTCAAGGCTCATATTTCTGGGAGTCCACTAATCAGTTGAGTTCCCATCTGGTTATACTCTTTCTGTATTGATCTTGATTGGTGCACTCCTCAGGCACTGGCAAGCTTAAATGTCAGCAGTGGGAGTAGTCCCAGCATGACTTCCAGCTTGTCAAGAAGTTCTTTATCTATTCTAGTTGTCTGTTTTTCTGGTTTCCCAAAGTGGGAACACAAACAGGATCTTCCATTTGTTACTGTTGGATATAGGACAATTCAGGTTGGAAAGGGCTGCAGGAGATGTCTGGTTCAACTGCCTGCCTAAATCAGGGTCAGCTCTGAGGCTGGAGCAGGTTGCTTAGGGTTTTATCCCATTTGGTTTTGAAAACCTCCAAAAATGGAGACTGGATGGAGGCTATAGTACCACTGTTAATGAGTGACTTAGACTCAGTCACGTTCTCTTTTCCTCAGTGTTTCTAGAAAAGAGAAACAAGCTGTTAAGAGTTTTGCTGTCAGTACTTGGCATTGCATGGCTTTTCATCCCCAAATTTTGTAAATAGGGAAACTAAGACTGAGAATGTTTAAAGAAAACATTGTTTGACCTGAAACTTTGAGTTCTTGACTTGCTCTTTCAATAAAATTATTTAACACTTAAATATCTTTTGCCTTTTGGAAGAGATTCTATTCAATTGGGCCAACTACTACTTCCTTATATTCTTTCACCTCTTTATTTTTTGTGATTATGCCTTGTATATTTCCATAATGCAGAATGGGAGGTGTAGAGGAGTTGAAAATTAAGGCATCATTTGTGGTTTGCACAATAAGTGGCAAAAGGATTTGTCCCATAGCCATTTACCTGTTCTATTCTGTCCTAAAACTCAGAGGATAGATGTGAAGCTGAAGGAATGTGTGTTTTCATTCCTCAGTTAGAATTTCTGGGGTCATAAGAGAAAATACAAGTTGTCTAACATTCAGGTATGCTTTGGCCTTGGAAACTTAACAAATTTCTCAAGCTTTACAATTTGAATGAGTAGATTATATTCTGCATCCCCCCCAGCCTCCCCAAATCATAAGAAATTTGAGAAGCATGGCTTAGGACATTTAATCTTGAAAAAGCAGCAGCCATTCTTCTTAGCAGCAACAGTGGGTGTTTTTTTACAAACATATTATGTAAAGGAGATGGTACTAATTACTCATGTATGTTACATTTTCAGCATTAATTTCAATCTGTTTGTTTGCCAGAAGTTAAGGGCATGTTCTTTCTATGGTTTAATATGTCTTTTAGTTGTTGGTTAAATTGTGAAAGTCTATAAGAATTAAAAAAGGTTGTTACTTAGCATTCAAAGTTGTTTCTTCAAGGCTGTTTGTACAGTAATATTCTTGACTGTTTAATAATCATAATAAATATGGTCTATGAAAGTGGGCATGTCTTACATTGTCAGGATGAGAGAATAAGATGCCAGGAGCTTTTGTCTCCTTATAACCACAGTCTTTTCTTAAAGACCACCAAAAGGTGTTGGGTTTGTGTTGTTTTCCTTATTTATTCCATTTTTTTAAATTTCAAAACTACTTTGAAGGGGTTTATATTTTGATATTAGACACACATTGGTTTAATAATAATTCTCATCTAATTCTGCATAATAACCATGTGTATGTCTAAAATGAAGAGTTATAAATACCCTTAAGTTATTGACCTACATAATAATGAGTTTCTTTCAGATCCTGTTTGACCAAACCCAAAGATCAATTAAAGCACAGCTTCAGACTTTCGTTAAAGAGTAAGTTAATTTGCACTTGTGATGGGAAAATTATAGGTAAAATAGAATTTAGAAACCTCTGATTTGAGTGGGTTGGTGAAACAACTTTCCTGAAAATCGCCAGCCCTAAACTGAGAAGTTGCATATTAAAGCTTGTCAAAAATCACCCTAAATCAATAAGGCTTTAGATCCAGCTGCAGGAATGTTGAAATAGTATGAATTACTGATCTTAATTACATGTTGTCATTGTCTAAACTTAGGGGAAAAAAGTGCTTACCAAAGCTTTTCCCCAGTAAGCATGAGATGCATTTATTTACATTTCAATTTTGTCCTTTCCTCAGAAGAGAAGGACAGAGAAGCTTCTATCATACTTTGTATAATTTTCATTTGATCCAAGCATTTATTGAAGAATATGAAAACAAAGAAACTAGCTATAGCAGTCACAAGCATGGTCTGTCTAATCTATCTTTAAATGCTTTTTTCATGCTCCGGAATTAATTTGTTATCCATCTTTCCTTCTTCTTTAGAGATATTAGGAAATTTAAAGATGCAAAGAAACAGTTTGAAAAAGTTAGTGAAGAAAAAGAGAATGCTCTAGTGAAAAATGCCCAAGTTCAAAGAAATAAGCAACATGAAGTGGAGGAAGCAACCAATATTTTGACTGCAACACGGAAATGTTTTCGACACATAGCTCTGGATTATGTTCTTCAAGTAAGTGCAGCAATAAAAGTTATTTAATCTGTTCCATATAGTTAGAGATCTGTCCTCTAGCAGTTCTTATTGTAAGCTTCTCAGAAGCTGTGGAGATTCAGTGAAAAAGGAATAACTGTTTGCCAGTAATTTCTTTTTTAATGAAATCTGAGCAAAATTAGTTTACTTGATGCATTCCTATTGCCTAATGCTTTGGTATTCAGTGCTGTTTCTGTAACGACACAGTTTAATTTTCAACTTGAACATTAATTTTGGAAAAACAGTATTTTCCTGATAGTTACCTAAATCCATTTCCTCAGTTGGCTATGTTGTAGTTCCTTATATATTTGAGGTAAAAATGTAACCTAGCCTAGGAGATACAAATTACCTGAACAATTCTGATATGGGATGTTGGCCACTACTATGATTTCAGCTGTTTGCTTTGGGTTTTATTTAACAAATCCTACTTGTCTAGAAGACTTGGGGTTTGGCATTGTGCCATGGGGAAATCAAGAACATAACTCTTTTGCTTTTTAGTACAGATCTCCTACAGAGTGTTAAGAGGTGTTCTTTGTCCTGCTACTTTGAATTCTGTGAAATAATAAGAAATTTTCTGTCAATACTTACAATTCATCTGTTTCATAGTTACCCACAACTACAGAAAAACAGGATTATTGTAACTCAGATGGTACGAGGGGCTGGGGGGTCCTAAATGTGTTTGGGGTTCTCCTATGATCAAACACAGAACAACCGTTCAAAATTATGTTGGTTTTATATTAGACATTATCATCTTGATTTGTGACAGTCTGGTCAGTTATTTAGAGCTTAGTTTAACTTTTCTTTAAATAGCATGTGTTTACCTGTAAAGCGAAATGGAATTCATCCGATCGGCCGATGCACATGTACAGATGCAGTAGTCAGTGGTCAACACTGAACTCCTGCCTTTTGAACACTAAGGACAAAGTTCATTTTGATGTTTAAAAAGTCATGTGAATTATATACCACTTGATTATTTGTACTAACATCAAATTAGTAGCGGGGGGGAGGGGAAGCTGGCAGTCATTACTGTAGGCCAGTTCCTTGTGTATGCATTGAACTGCAGATCGTTTGCCTCTTGGAATTCGTATGTTTGAAGTGTGAGCAGTTCCTGTGATAAAGATGCATTTAAAGTAACAGGGAAAAGTTTCAGCACCTCTTAATTAATGTGAGCAAAAATTGAATTCAGCTTTAGGAATTCTTTTTACTTGGGTGACTCTTCTGGGAAAGTGGCTTCACAATTATGGTCTCTCTATAGCTATACTTGTCTTTAAACTGTATTTCAAAACCTTCGCTTTCCTCTTATTTTTTTTTTTTGCCTCACAAGTTGAGGGTTTGTTCTATACAAACAAATCTTAATTATTTTTGCTGCAGAAGGTTTTCCAAAATACTGACTATTTAAGTATGGAAGTACAATCTGGCTTTGATTATAGCTTCAGTAGTTTATTTCTTTTGCTGGAATTTTAAACTGACTTAGAGGTATTAAATTACAAGATCATGCATGTTTCTACCAAATGGGGCTTTTAAAGTAAAATCTGTACTTCTGGATGACAACCTTAAAGATTAGGGGACAAAGAAGATAGAGGAACTAGGTGAATGTGAAAAACCAGTTATTTTTTCTATATAATGTGAAATTCTTCAAGTTCTAAGGCAACACCATCGATCAGTGGCTTCAGCTAGCTTAAAAGTGCAAGTATATCTGAAAAGTTACTTATTGAAGCTATTATGATCTTGCTTGTTTCATAGGCTGGGTCTGTATCCCAATTTTGGGACACTTTAGACAATGTCAGCCTGAGGGGAAAAAATAAACATACCCCTGTCCTTTCCTGTCCGCTGGCAGGAGACGGCAGTGGTGCTGAGTGCAGCTTCTTAAAGAAGTTGGTGGGCTGGGTTAGCTCATACTGTCAGATAGGGTATTTGAAACGTGTTGAATTCAGTCTCTTGAAAATGGGTACCAATTTTCCTTGCTTGAAAGGTGTGTTTATATTGCTTCCAATTAGCATGTGATGTCTTATATTTTCCCTTCCAATATAAGAAAATTGTGACTATCACTGTGAAATTCTAGCTTTGCAAGCTTTTTCTGATTGCATCACTTTCATGTGACAAAACTAGTGTGCATCTTCTTTTAAAAAGTGCTTTGTGAAGTCTGATATTGAGTTACGTTCTTCCAATGTTTTAAGCTTTGTTATCATTATTTGGAAGTAATACAAGTTTACTTCTGTAGGGAAAATTTGCAAGTAGAATAAAATAAGTTCCTTGCTTGTTTTTTTTTTTTTTCTAGATCAACGTTCTTCAGTCTAAAAGGAGAGCAGAAATCTTAAAATCAGTAAGATACACTTTATTTTCTGTATAGAAAATATTTAAATACATCTGAAATTAAAAATGTGACTGCAAAGCATTGTATTAAAAATTTATTTCTTTTACCCATCAAAACATTACCAGCACATTTGGCACTTTGGTCACAGTTTGGCCTTTACTATAACTGGTCATAGATGCTTCACTGTCTTTGCCAATCCTTTTGGTTTGGAATTGAACACTTTAAGGTTTTCACTGCTTTTGACTCTTTGGTATGCGATTCATGGTTAAAATCGAGCTTTGCCAAGAATTCTGCTTTTTAGGTCTGCTGTATTCATTTATAAGCCATAAGTACTACTTATAATCTAGTCTAAGATGGATTCAGCTTTTTCTACAAAAAATTGTATTTTATGTAAATAGCATATTGTAATAGCAAATATACAATAAGCTTTAGTATAGTATCTGCTAAATTAATATTCAGCTGTATCTGCATGATAGTGTTCTTCTGATTGTATTCCCTTTTCTGCTTCACATTATCTCTGTAAAAAGCTTACTGAGGTAGAGACTGTCAAATTCAACGGTGCTTTTTTTTCAAAGGTCTAAAGTTGCACTCCCATAATTTCCTTAATTCCTTTAAATAGCAAAAACTTTAGTTGGATCACAGCTTTATAGCTGCTTGCCCTTCTGCTCTGCATCTTCCCAACTTGTTTTCTTCTTTAAGACTAGACAGTCTTCTCAGCTATGTTCATAAAGGTTGTGGTTTTGGATCATTAGTAAATATATCCTGTAGCCCCTCTCTAATTTACATGTCCTAGTTAAACAGGAGATAACAAAAGTTTCAGGTGACATGAATTAGAAGTAATTTACTGCCCTTAAGTAGATTTGTTTGTTTTGTTAATGGGGTTAATCCTATTAACTAATTTCTGAGATTTTTGGCTTGATTCTTTGCTGCCTTTACCTTGCATGTTTATTTGCAACATTGGAAGCTCTATGTGATATCAATGTAAAATTGCCAGGACACAAGAAAGCAGAAATTAAACCTGGAATTGCATTTTAAGTTTGTTCATGTGGATTAGTTAAGTGATATATTTATGTGATATCTGATAAATATTTGTCCTTTAAAAAATATACTTTTTTTTCCTTCTAGATGTTATCGTTTATGTATGCCCATCTGGCTTTTTTCCATCAAGGCTATGATCTTTTTAGTGAACTTGAGCCCTACATGAAAGATCTTGGTGCACAGGTAACAAATTACTGTAAAAATTCATAACTATATGCTGGAATGAATAAAAACTTGATATATGCATACGTATCAGGTGCATCATAGATTTAGTCAACAAAAAGGGAACTGTAGTGTGATAAAGGCAAAGCATAAAAATACACTGTAAGTGGTTTGAATGAAAATAGTTAGAAACTGAAAGTTGTCTGTTTACTAAAATTAATACCACGTTTAGGATTTACATACTTAAACATAGCCGTGTAGTGATGTTTGAGGTACTCTATGGTATTCAGGAAACTGGATTATTTTGTTTTAAAATTTTTTGTATATGACTCATGTTATAAATATATTTAACAATAAAAAGTAGATTTTTTTCCTTCTGCTTATATACATTATTTACTGTATAAATTATACAGTGTGCCAAAAAGAACATTGATGTTAGCAACTTAGACCATAAAACAGAATTCTGATTTTAATAAGTAGTGCAAAACTGAGTTCATACAGTGAGTCCTTCTTGCCCAGTTGTGGTGCTTAAGAACACACAATGGCAACTTGTGGGTTTTCAGTGAGGGACTCATGAAAAGGTTAGATGGACCACAGGCATCTGCACACAGGAGGCATTGAAAATGGTTATGCAAAATAGATTAAGAACATATAATATTTAACTGAAGATCTGTCTGTGGTGCAGGAAGAAGGCTCAGCAGTATCTTGACTTGTTTTCAGTGCAAGCTGAATGGGCCTGGAAATAGTTGTACACCACTTTTTTTTTTTTTTTTTTTCCTCCTCTGAGGACTTGCAACAACTGTACTGATGCAAAACCCTCTATTGCCGCTTCCCAATCTGATCCACAAAACAAAGTCAACCCAAATTCTAAGTGTTTGTCCAGATACAAAAGTAAATGAATGACAGCAAACATTTATTTTCATTCATCTCAAGTGGGTGTATCGCTGAATGTCTGAGAAATGACATTGTTCTGAGCTGGTAATTCCTGCCACAGTGCTGTTGTCATCTGTGCCCCACAACCTGCTTCTGTGTCTGTGCAGCGATGCAGATTGGGAACTGTAGAAAACTCCAACAATCAAATGTCTAAATAGTTACTTTTTTGCTAGACTAGTTGCCAGTCAGGTTACTGTGGGTCTTAATTATTTGTACAAACACACATCAGGGAGGTGCGTGCATGTGTGTGGCAAGCAAGTGATGGAGCTGAGAAGAGAGACAGGCTGCTTGAGCTGGCATTGCCATCAAGAAGGGAAGTGAGTGTACAGCTATAGCCCTCCGTGTTTGGTGTAATAGTGGCACTTGAAGGGTTCAGGTGCACATGACTGTCCTTAGTTGTGCTTTTTATTCTTTCACATCCTTCCATTTTGGGTTGTAATTATTGAACTGTAGTGTTTTGATAGTATAGAATGTGTCCTGGACCTCTGTAGAAGAGGGGATGGGGAAAGGAGACTAAAACTACGGAGTTGGTAGTGGTTTATGCTACCAGCTAGCTTTCAATGTTTCCATATCATTGTGTTCCTTGCTCAAATAATCTCAAGGTTATTTTTCAATGGCTGGTCATCCTTTTGCCTGATGTGGTAAGGAGCATTGTGTAACATTCATTTTGGTGCTGGTATCATAGCAACTGAAAGAGTTAAATTTAGAAAATCCAAAGCTGAGAAAGTTTAAAAAATATTGTAACTGGAGCAAAGATAGACTGAAGACCCTAAAGTTGTACAACTTGCTGAATTATTCTTTTGTGGCAGACCTTGGCATTTAAGTAATGGATATTTTTCATGACAGAAGTAGACTTGTAAATAGCTTATGAAAGTTTAACGGTTAATGGCTTTGCAGTTTGTATTGGTTGAAGCTTCTGCCTTTAACAGGTCAGAGAGAAGGTATGTTGTGACATAACAAAACAGGGATTTGCTAGATTTTTCTGAAAATACTGTCAGATTCTTTCTGTTCGTGAGTTTTCATTCCCACATAAAGTTTGTGTATAATCTTAATTACAAGGTTTAACACCACCTGAAGTATTAAAATTGAAGTGATCTTAAATAGTATAGTTATAATTTTTAATTCTTTTGTTTTGCATTTTCAAAATAACTGGTTTACATGAATGGAATAGGATTGAGCAATTTTGATTTCTGGATGTTTTAGGGTAGGATTACTTGTGAATCAGATGATTGTAGGGGAATCTGTAATGGCACACAAGTGTAATATAAACTTTTTGATGGAAATTACGGTATTTGGCACTTTTCACGTGAAATGTGGTGTTAGTTTAAAAAGAAAACCTACCTGAATTTCCATTCTGAGATGGCTATTGAAAAAGCTAAACATTTTAATCTGATTTAGTTATCTACAGAATACCACTTATAGCACTATATGTTTATAAAAATACATTTACTGGTAAATGCAGTATTTTGAAAACCCTAATTTTTTTGAAGACCACCTGGTAATGATATAATGGCTGGGATTTTGGTAGTTTAGTGTGATTGGCCCCAGCTCTTGATAGTTGTATGCTGTTGCTCTTTTCTGTTTAAGACTGTTGATGTGCTGCTCACCTGAGTGAAAAGAAGAAATTCTGGTCTGAGCTTGACAACTGGAATGATGCAATGCTGTCTTGATAGTAAAGAAAGTAAATGAGAAATGAGCTGCTGTTAAGAAATTTGCTTTGGCACTTATGCTGTAGTAAATGTGTCTTCAAACACTTGCATTTAAGATAAATTAGAGGTAATTCCCCTAATCTGAATGTGGCTACCTTCTGTTTCATCTAGCAGGGTAGGAGGAAGAACTTCTTGGGGGCCACATGCAGATTCCTGAATCTGAGGTTTTAGCAAGAAACTTGATTCCTATAAAGTCTTGAACAGCCCTTGGACCACAAAAGCCCTTTTATCACAAAAGAATGGGTTTCCCAGGGTTCTTGGTGCCAAACAGTCTTTGAGCACAATGGCAGCCCAGCCTCTGTTTTAGAGGATCTTCTATCATTTTTAAGTCATATAGCTACATAAATAGGACATCTGGACACTTCAGTCTTTGATGTGTTCATGTTCACAAACACCTGTAAGGTGTGAAAGTGCTGGTATAGTCATTTGGACTAGAGAAGAAGCCAGGGAGAGACAAGTTAAGAAAAGTAACAGAGTATGAAATTGGATCCAGATGTCCCAGTTATCTGATGGCTCCTTAATTGCTGGAGGCTCTCTAGCATAAGGGCGTAGGAGCCAGTTATTGTCTCTTTTCTTTCATTTGTATCATTTCAAGCAGGGGAAATAGAACACTGGCAAAAATGACCAGAGTTGGCAGGGGTTCTCACTCGTGGTTATGAGAGCGGATGGAGGTGTTCCTATTTGCGTGTGAACTGGAGGTTCTGTTAGTCATACTGTGCCCTCTGCCACGTGACTGACTTTGGCTGGAAAACTGGTGTTGCGCACTTTTCCAGGTCTCCTTGTTCTAGGCCTGGAGTAGAATGAGGTCTGTCCCACAGATGTTAAGCTGCGCACTGTACCGCTGTGTTTGGTATTGCATCTGCATCGTTATTCAGTAAGGTACTGTGACTGGTGTTAATGGCAGTCGTGTATTAAAGGCTGGATAAAGGAGGAGTTCGTCAGATTCCATAGCATGTCACACAAGATAACTGGTCTTTCAGGCAACATCTGTTCCTCCACTTCACAGTATTTCCTTTTTAAAGATCAAAGTCTGGGGAAAAAAAATGAAACAAACACACACACACACAACCTGCACCCCACCCCTAAAAAAACCCTGCAACACAACCGAAAAAAAAAGGGGGGGGGGGGAAATCCCAAGCAAAAAAACCTTACTCTCTTATAGGATATCTGACATTTCCTGCCTTTTTTTTCCTTCTGGTTTTAAAAGGAAAAAGTTAATAAGGTAGTGCTGTAGACATGCTTGCAGCAAGTTTTTGGTAGTGTTTTTTTTTTTAATCAGCACAGACTTTGTAAGGATGCTAACTTAAATCCTCTCTGTTGTGACACTGTCTTATTTGCAAAATCATATAGTTGTTATTTCTTAAGCTAGAAACAGTTTGAATGATTCTACCTAAGACTTCAAGGAATCTTGCTCAAATACTGCTGGTGACCTGGTCAAAGCTATCAATACAAAAGCCCGGTTGAGGCAGTTCCCCCATTTTGTGGAGGAGAAAAATCACTAACATTCACTCCTTCTAGTTTTTGCTGCTAATGCCAGTGCTGCTGCATAGGCCAGTCAGCCAGCAAGAGCAGCTAAAGCATGAGTCATTCTCTTCAGAGACCGAGCACCAATGCGGTATAGTTGCATATGCTTGGCACCATGCTGTTCTTTGAAACATTTCATCTAAGGCTTAGAAGAAATGTACACCTTTTGTAGAGGTTAATTCAGGATGGTAGTGCAGTGCTTTAAACGAGGCTTCAGTGGTAATTCAAGGTAAACACTTTGTGACCAGAGAAGTAATTATACTATGCAAATGAAACAAGTCATGCAATGTCTAGACGTGTTCTTTTTGTCAGCATTATGAAATCTACTGAGCCAAATTTCTCTTGATATCTAAAGATCCAATTTTCTGTTTCTCTTTACAGCTGGATCAGTTGGCTGTAGATGCTGCAAAGGAGAAGAGAGATATGGAGCAAAAGCACTCCACTATTCAACAAAAGGTACTTGAGACAATGTAAAAGGCAGACTGCACACACATTTTTGTATCTCTGATACCTCTCCCCAGCAGTGCATCTCTGCATCGGAACTGTGAGGGGTGGTATCTTTAGTGCAGAGAAATAGACTTACACATCATTAAGCATAGGGTTGGATTGTAGATAAGCTTTTTGTATTACGGAACAGAATATTATGTTTAGTTTTGAAACATAGTACAGTAGAATTTATTTGAATGCTGGGACTCTAACATTTCATTAGAACTCTTAATTCCTATTACATCTTGGATTCAATATAGTTGTAAAAGTTGCTATCTTCCCCTCTTGCGTGTCTGTAGAAGAGGTGTATATGCTGCACAGTCCTACAGTCATAGGACACATTCTGGACTGTGCCAAATATGAGTGCAGCACTTTGAGGTAGTGTGGCAGCTGCTATTGCATATAAAGAGCAAAAGTAAACTTTTGTAAAGTTGTCTAATGTATGGTGTTCAGCTGTACATAAATATGAAAATGATAATATTAAATTGCTGTTTTGGGAAGATTTGTACGTGCAATAATTCTTATTTTTGCTTGTTGAGAAAAATTTAGATAATTCATTTTGTGGGGGGAATGACTTCTGTTGTTTGGATGTTTCAGAAGCTCTAGATCAGTATTGGTTTTGCAGGTATAATGCTAGAAGTTAAAAATATTTCCACTGAACTCTCCGGTAGTGAGCTAATACTGCAGGTACATTTGAAAGGGAGTAGATACCAATTTAAAGGTAATGCAACACTTCTTACTCTCATTCAAATACATTCTGTATTGGTTCAGGTGGCATAAATTAAAGCCTAATGTAAATGAAATCTGATGAGTAAATAAATTCAGGAATGAAAACATGCTAAGATTATAATTTAGGTAGCCTTAATAGGAGTCAATACTAATGGGAAAAGGTAACATTTTTGGTTGCTGAAAATGTTTTTGTCACTTCATCCTGTCATTCCTGCAGGAGTTGGTGGGAAGCATTAGGATTGCTGTAACCATGAAATTGAGCAGACATGGTGATGGGTTTTAGGGCAGTGTTGATGTTCTGTTTTAGGAGGCAGATGGGAGATAACTACAGGCAAAGAAGGGGAAGAAAGAGGGGAAATGGGAAGGAGATGGAACTTGAGAATTAACATTGACATTCAAATTCCAATTTGAGCTCAATAGGTCTAGTTTCAGGACTGAGCAGTAGTTGAGGGTTTTACTGTTGGAAAACAGTGGTGCTTGGTGAAGGATGTAAGTTATGGGCAATTATCTTTTGGCCATAAAAATAATAACTTGTTATGGTGAATTATGGTCATTGCTGTTGCCAATGGTGTTTACAGTCTGTTTTTTCTTCAAATGCTGCTAAAGGCTGCTTTACAGGTAAACTGTTTCTAATAGTATCAATGGTTATTGAAACTTTTAAGCTTCATGAAACTTGATAAGCTGTTTCTGTGTGTAATACAAATATTCTTGGTTTCTAGTACAAATGGCAATCATAATGAGGTTATTTATATATTGGTCCTTATTTTAATTGAATGACAGTTTTATGCTGTCTCTAAAATATAATCAGGGCAGTCAGATTGTATCATATGTTGTCCTCTATAAAGTTCTGTGTTTCAAGTTGTGTACGTTGTCTCCTGTCCTTATCAGTGAAATCACTGATGCATTTTTGTGATGATAATGCCTAGATTAATGCATTTAGGCTTTGGAGGGCATGCTTTATTGGAGATTCCTCTTATAACTTCTCTAATCATTTTCTTGGTTTGTTACTCAAATCATGTTGTCTGTTTGGTTTTTTGTCTCCTCCTACTTGCTTTTCCCAACCTTCCCACCAAGTTTATTTCCAGCTCATCAGGATTTCAGAATCTTGAACCGCCTTAGACCTTGGATCTGGTTCTTTATATCATTGTTTGTCATCTGGTCAACTTGACCAGGATGGCTACCTTGTTCTCTGTTCACTTCTCATGGCTTGTCATGTTGCTTTCCATGGGGCTGCCTCTTAGGCATGTGTTCCCAAATATTCCAGTGCCAAATCCTTCCATGTTTTATAACTACTGAAACTTCTGCTTCTTGTGTTGAATATTCCATGAGGTATATATGTATTTAATATACTGAAGTTTTAATCTAATGCTTCAGAATGATGCCTTTTCTTCATTGTGTGGATAAAGAACAGTTCCTTTTCTGAAATGTATAGGTAAGTGCACATGTGCACACACCTACCCACCCACTACCTGTGTTTGCATATATGTGCATATGCATGTGGAATAATTGCACTAATTAAGTAACTCATGTCACTTTTCTTTATAATCATCATCCTATTTAATTAGGCTGTTGTCTGAGAGGCTAATACAAAAGTCATGGAAGGGCTTGGTCACCACTATAATTTGACTTCTATTTTAAGAGAACTGATGTCTGATTTTTTTGTTTGTTTTAACTTTTGTGTTCTATTTACTCAGCAAATACGCAGGAAACAATTGGGGGTTTTGTTTTTTTGGTTTTTTTTTTTTAGGGTAAGAAATTATTTTTTCCATATTAATCTGGAGCAACACCTACTATGAATGTAGAAATGTCATGATCATTCTGGGAACTTTTTGCAATATATTTTTACAGGGAAAGATTCATATTAAAAGAGTGGTGTTATGGTGTCAGTATCACTTAAGAATTGTAACTGTTGTTTTCTGAACAGTTTGCAGGCCATTGCTGTAGTAACATGTTGAATTAAGAAAATTTAAAAATTGGTTGGGCCTGTAAACAGCATTATGGCTTTTTGGTTTTGTGACAGAGCTAATATTTTTTTCTAAAATGGGAGAAATGATCTAGGAAAAATGTTTGCGTCGAACTTCAAGTAGTTTTCATTGTATTCAAATCCCTTTTTCATGAAAAAAACCAAAACAAAACCAAAAACAAACCAAAAAACTGCATCCAAAGAACTGCTCAGGAAACAGCTGGAGTGAGAATGGTTTAAAAATTTTTAACCTCTTGAGTAAACAAGGTCATAGGAAACCAGATGCTACCACAGTCATAAAGCATGCATAAACCAGAGCTGCTGATAAGAAGTAATGCAAACTAATTCCTCTCTCAAAAAACAAAGATATGCCAGTATTTCAAGTGACTTGTATGCTCAATGACTCTCTTGCCTTCTTTCACTTTGTCTTGGACTGTAAACCTTGTTACTTGTTGTGTCTGTTGTTGTTTTAAGACCTTCCGCAAGGTACTTCCAACTTAAGCATGACAAACATCTCTTTTGCCGATGGGATGGGAAGGGAATGGAAGCAACTTTCTAAATGGGTGGGTTGTACAGTTAAGGTCTTCTGTTTAGTAAATGGTGGAGTAACTTTTCAGATTAGTGTTTTCTTTAGTACTTATGCTTCCCCCATTTACTGCCTTTTTAAAAACTTTAAAAATTCTGCTTCTCTAAAGTAAAAAACCATATTGAATACATATTCAATGTTAAAATGCTGATACTCACTCTCCCTAAGATGTACTGGTAAAATGGCTTGAATAGCTTTCATGACCTGCTAGCAATCTTTATATTGAAAGTACATCGAAAACGCTGCTGCTGAAAAGTATGGGGGTTTATGTTTTGGTAACAAAATGATAAATTGATAAGCTCGTGTGAAAATGCATTCACTGAAACACTGTCAAGAATAGTAAGTATTCTGTGACACACCAGGTTAGTGTTAATTGTGGAAATGAAAGTTGTTTTTCCATTGCCAAGTGGTTTGCTATCCCTCATGGGCATTTAAAGAAAAAGATGGGAGGAAAAAGAAAAGGCACGAAAGCATGCTGTACGTTTCACTTATATAACCTACTTCTAAATGTTTCTCTTCCAGTAGCTGGCCAACCTTGAAAAATGAGTATCAGAATAGAAGCCATAGATTTTCCTTCCTTCAGATCTGAATGAAATGTGTGATAATAGCACTTCAGTGTAACTTTCATAATACTGGCTTAATTTTCTTAGTTCTGGTTAAGTGAAATGTACTTCAGTCCTAACTGACACCTAATTAGTAAATAAATTATGTTTAAAATTCAGTCTTTATCAGCTGTGTGTTTGATTAAGAAATGTAAAATTCTGAATCATGTAAAGTGACTGGGTTTATTAACATGTGATTCTCTTATGCAGGTCACTGGAAAGATATGGATGTATTTCTCTCCACCCCCTGATTATTTTTTCTGATTCACTAAACTTTTCCATGCGCCAAGATAAAAATAAACTATAATGTGACTGCTTTTCTCCTATTATTTAATTACAAAATAGCAGAGACTATAAGATCAGACACAGCTTATCTAGTTCCTTTTTCTACTTTTCTCCTTTTAATTGAAATGAAGTGTGAGGGGTTTTTTGTTTGTTCATTTTTTTCCTGACCACAATTTTATCAATGAAGTGTTATGGATTAAAGCACATGGAAGCTTTATTCCACACCCCCCACCCCACCCCCCACCCCCTCAAGTTGGTAGCCTGCTATGAATAGTTAGAAAAATATTCGACGTTTCTGTGTATGCTCTTGTGTCTTTATCTGTTCTATAAAGGTGGAAGTCAATCAGGGAAGCCATTAAAAGTGACACTAAGTACACTTCATGAGGAAGGCTCAGTATTTTAGACAATTTGGACTGAGTGTAGCATGATAAATGATCCAAAGGAGTTTTCTTGTCATGCTTGTATATGTCTTCAAAGCATAAATCTGGATTCATTGGAAAAGACGTTGCATTTTCTGCAGCAGTTCTCCAAACCTGGAGGAAAATGTGATTACATAGTAGTTTGGACAGAAGAGACTGAGGGAATGTATATTGTCTTTCACTAGACAAGGAGTTGCAGGCATCACTGAGGCAGGAAGATGCAAATCTTTAGCAGGTTTCATTATGTTTGGGAGCTGGTAAGTTAGAGTGATTTATCAGTTTTTTTTGGGAGGGAGGGAATGTGACATCAGTATTTCTAAGTCTGTGCTTACAGGGGTTTTCTCTCTTTTTTTTTTTTTGGAGAGGATAAGAAAAGAACAGAAGGGACTTTTAACACTTTGAGAATGTTTGTTTATGTCATAAGTTGTGACATACACCAGCATTCTCTAAGTTAAAATTTTACTGTGATGTTTGTGCTTACCTGAAGTCTTTAATGTTCAGCGTGTTCTGATCTAGAAAACAGAAAATCAAAGTTATTAAGTGTTGAATAATAAATGCACAAATTTGTGATTTTTGAGAAGGTTTTATTTGCAACCTATATGTTTATTCAGCTGAGTATATGGTAGTGATACAATAGTTCCATTTGCTTTTGGAACTTTTTTGCACTGATCTTCTGCCAGTGAATTAATAAAAATCTATATTTAATATTTCAAATTCAGTTAATCTGTTCAGATTGATAATAGCTAAAAACACTGAGTAATTTTATGGAATTAGGTGCTGTGCTGGCCTGGGAGTGTAAAGGACCCATTTTGATAGTTATAACTGCTTCACTGTCTTGTTTGTTTAACCTTGGATTGGACCAAACCATCTGCATGTATAAGAGTAAACATTGTGTGGAGCAGAATATTTGTGTTCAGGCTGGACTATTACATAGGGCTAATGGTATTGTTTTGGAAGCTGACTTTTTTTTTTGGTATAGCCTCTTCTCCCCTATGTACAGACAAATTCCTAAGGAGCATAGTACAAAACAGAGATTTACAGACATGCTTTTCACACAAAGCTGATGTTTGCAGTTTACAAAAAGTACCTGCTGAAGGTATGGGAGAGTGACATTATAAAGTGTCCTGCATCTTCAGTATTTAACCTGGGTTTTTTTGTTCTGAAACCTAATTTTCAGTGATGTTTCTCTTCTGCCCTAGTTAAGGGGAAGAAGCCGTATGTTAGTCTACTTCAAGGATATGTTTTACTAACAGTGAAATTAAATAATAATGTCATTATTTTTCATCTCCGGACATAGCTTATGATAAATGATGTCACTCCATGTGTGCTTTTTCATGCACCCCTAGCAGCTGTTAGGCACCCACTCACTGAATACCTGAACTCTGTAGCTCCCTGGGAAGAGTCCATGCTGTTTCAGATGATATGAAAGCAAATAATCACCACATGTATTGCTACATAGTTTACCTTTGCTGGAGATGTGAAGTAGTTAACCTTTCTAAAACTTTTAAAGCTGTTATTAACTGTTATTAGCTGTTACAATTTGTTATTAGCTTGACTGAAATGTATATTCCCTTGTCCTGCTTCTAGCTTCATATTCTTGTCAAAGATCATAAAGAAAAAATTACTGCTAAGTTCTTGTCATCATTGCCAGCACCCTGACTGCTATAATTTAGAGATAACTGATAGTGTCATCTTTGTTTGGTTACTTGTCTTCTAAGTTCTGATCCAGCTCGCCTGTCAAGATGACAGAGCTGAAGAAAATGCTAAAGCATGACTGGGTCTATACAGTTGTCTGTAACAGGCTGCAATTGCTTTTCAGTTTTGACTCCTAACTCCCATTGCCCCTTTTCCTCTACCTTACTCTTCCCTTTCTTTGGAATATATGTGAGACCATTTGAGCAGACACGCGAAGCATCAGATGCTCTGTCAGTAGTGTTTGGCCTCTACTTGGCCATAGAGGTCACCAATACCTGAGCAAGAAATTCCCCTTGTGTGCAGGTAAAGTAAAAATCTTTAGCATTCTGATCTCTTTAAAATGCTTTTTTAAAAAAATTGTCAGGGGCTGAGAGAGTCATGGCTTGACTAATCACTGTTGCAAGCAAAACATTATTCCTAAATGTTTACTTTTTTACATTAATACTGCCTGTATTTGAAGTTTTATTTGAAACTGCAATGTCTTTTTCTTCTCTTGTTCCTTTGTACTAGGATTATTCCAGTGATGATACTAAACTAGAATACAATGTAGATGCAGCCAATGGTATTGTTATGGAAGGTTATCTATTTAAGCGAGCCAGCAATGCCTTCAAGACTTGGAACAGGTAATTATTCAGAACCTCTATTTACTAGCTCATTAAGATACTGCTTGTTAAGCTAAATTCTGGTCTGACTTATAACCTATGCAACTCACTGATTCCACAGTTTTGACAGAACACTTGGACGACTCTTTTAATTGGCATAGAGATGACACTTCAAAGCCGTTTGTCCTTATTTTCTGTCCTAGTTGTTTGCAAGCCTTTTTCTAAGAGTGTATCTTAGTCTGGAGAAGTTCTATGTATGGAAAATGTGCTTTGCTGTGCGCGGTCTGGCTCTGTAATTGTGTTTTGGCCTTACTTTGGAGTTGAAACAGAGCAATCCTTATGATTTTATACAATAAGCTATCTGAATGTATATGCTGGGGAAATAAATATTAGAGGACAAAGTAAAATGGAAGTTGCGTAGCCATTGGAAACTGGGAAACACAGTGAAGGACTCTAGTACTCAAGAACTCAAGTTATTTTTCCTGAAAGATAAGCATGTAATTGTTAGCCTTTACAATTCCTGTCCTGTGCAGTGACTTCTGCTTAGTAGTTTTGATGGTCCTGTTGAGATTCAAAATATGTTGTTAGTCATGTCTCTTTAACAATGTATATTTTACTATTTTTTAAATATTTTTGTCCCTGAACAGGATTTCTTTTGCATTTCCAAGGGTGTATGCTTTTTTCAAGGAAATATAGATGCTGGAGCATTCGCAGTGTAGCTGGAAACAGTTCTTGAATTTTAAAGTTAATTTGTTGTGATAGAGAGCTCTTTTTATTATCTTATGCTCTATAATTTTTGCAGGAGTGCTTCTGTTAAACTATTTGCTGTATTTCGAAGGCCAAAATGTACATTTGGATATGTGATCCCTTCTAACCTTAATTATTCTATAATTTCTTGAGCATCTCAGAACATCACAAGTCTGTAACAAATTGGGATTGCTTCACTTAAATCCGTAGACTGATGCAAGGGCCACTGGTGTCAATAAGACTGTATCTGTATTAGCAAGTCATGTGCAACTAGTATAAGAGATTTTGCTACAGACTACTAGTCTGGTGCTGTGGTCTGATTATCCATCTGTAATTGTAATGTATCTTCTGTGTTAGTTTCATCCAAGCAGAATTCAGAGCTCTTCAAGACAAATCTGCGAGGCATCAAAGGACAGTGAAGGGAGAAAACTGGGAGATATGCTTCAAAACCATGTTCCTGGTCTGAAGTAAAATGTTAGTGTAAGCACACTGAGAAAAATCCACAGTAACAAGGCAGGAGATTGTCCTTTATTGGATTCTCAACAGGCTGAAAGGGTTCTTTTTGCAAAGTGTTCTGCAGGATTGACTGCAGCCTCTTGATTAGTGACTGAAGGCAAAACTCTGACTCACTCTGGGTTCTTCTTTTGGATAGCTTGAAGGTCTTGCTCTGAAGGGAGGTGGCAGGAGGGGGCAGGACAGTAGTGTTAGAAGGTAGCTGAGAAATACTATTCTTCCCCATGGCTTCATACTTAGTAATATTGTACATGTATCTTACTTTAAGGTGGTTAGGGAGTAGGATTCAATTAAAACTAACTCCTGTATGTTGGAAATTTAAATGGACACAAAGTAAGTACAGGGAAGTCATAATTAAATCAAGATACACAATGACATTCTTTCAGGTTAAGTTACAGGTTTGAACATATATAATAAAAACATATCCAAACAATAAGTTATTTAAGTGAGCCAAGGTAAACAGCTCAATAATGAGTCAGAGCTACCTACTTTTACTATATAATTTATATTTGCTTATAGTTTTTTCTTCTAATTTTCACAAGAGTATTCAATAAAGCTAAACCTGTAACCTTCATTTAATCTGAGATTCTTGGTAACTTATCTCACTGTGATAGGCTAGTTGGATGCTTCAGAATTAGGCAAAGAATAGCATTGGATATGCTATCTGTAAACATAGTTTAGAAATTGAATCAATCATTTTAATTTTGTACTTCACAAACCATTGCTAGTTGTTAAGAAACTACTACTACTATTATTATACATAAAATATATATTTAAGACCTCCTTCCTGAAGACAACTATTAGTTTCTGAATCCAGCCCCATTTTTCATGTTTTAATAAAAATAGAGAAGTATTTTCATCTTATTTTTATTTCTGAATACATTTGTAATTGCTTGCTATGTTGTAGGCACTGAAGTGGTCATTGCCACTTTCCACTGCCTGTTTCCAATGATGGAATGCTTTACTTACGTACTATTGCAGTTTCAGCTGCAGGGAGATAATACTGATTAAAGTTTAGCATATATTAGAGGTGAGTGTGTTTTTCCAGTCACTAGGTAGAGTACAAGAAAGTACTGTATTGTTGCATTGAACTGTTTTGTGCCTAAAAATGTACAATGAAATACCAAAAGAGGAAACATTTAGAGAATTATGTATTTTATGTGAGGGAATTCAGAGCTGAAGTCAGAGACACCAAGACAGACAAGATATTTTCAGTGTTCTTATCAGATAAGTAGTTTGCTGCTTTATTGTATGCCCATCTTTGGGGGAGATGGGTGGAAAATCAACCAGCTGAAACAAAACTAGAAGAATTTGCCCAGAAAGAAATACTGGAATTTCCTCATGTTCTGAGCCAAGGGTGACGGCACTGATCTTCCTTGCTAACTGCTGATTACACTGTCAGTAGTAAGATGTATTTAAAATGGTAGATTCTCTTTTCCTACTGTTGGTATCAGTCGGTGTTTTGATGGTTCTAGACCTTTTTAAGCACTCCTTTAAAACTGAATTAAAGGCACCAAAAATCATTGCAATTACCACTATTAGTGTATACTTGCCACCATTAAAAACATAAGAGAAAAGGAAACTGTACAATGGATTTTGTCTGGATTTGACACGCATCAGTATGGTTCTAGGATTCTAGCTGGCAAACTCAATAATTGTGATGCTTCTGTGTGCATGTCTTGGTTAATGAATCCATGGACACCATAGTGAATCGTCCTGGGAAGTCTGGTTGCTGGGGGAGAAAAAATCAAAACCATATAATGCAGCCCTTTGAAGGGGGGCGAATCTGTTCTGATGAATGAAAACTTATTTTGTTTCCAATCCAAGCTAATTTCTTGCTAGGATGTTGTAGTTTCTTCTTGGGCAGCTGGCAGCTTGCCTTTAATTGTCTGAAGACTAGTTATTTGGGCTTTTGCTTCAGGTTTCCTGTTCTTGGGATATTTCTGCATGACACTGGCTTGAGAAACAAATAGTGTTTGAGCAGGTTACAAAGTAAACCACAAGAGCTATTTGCAATTCAATGTTGCTGTGTTTTGAAAGAGCTGGAGATTTTGCAGTCTCTTTTTATTGTGGCTAAATGGATAGTGTATAATGTACATGAGTATTTCAGATAATATACTTGAACAGAATCAAAATGTTATCTTTATACTGGAAAGTCTTACAGTAACAGGTATGGAGACCTATTTTTTGAATGTACGTCTATCTGTTTGTAAATGATGTATCTTATTGTGCACAATTTTTCTTAAGGCATCAGAACTGAAATCAGGTGCATTTATTATTGTGGAGCAGTGGGTGGAAAGCTGTTTTAGTTCCTAGAAATTCAAATGAAAAATAAGTCCATATCATAAAGAAAGATATGCGTCAATAAATGTGTATAGGGAGAGAAGCATTTATCAAACACTAGTATGTTCTAAATAGGTTTTAGGTGGATGCATTAAATGTTTTCCTTTTTAATTCTGCTGTATTTTCAGATCATGCTAATTCTTTGCTTATTTTGCTCATTTTGCATTTTTCATTCCTTCTCCTCCTTTCCCTTATGTTTTAATCCTACCCCATTTTTTCACATGACAGGAAAAAGCCAGATCACATCAGGTACCAACCAGCTTCTTTTATACCTTCCCAATGTTTCTTTGGCACGCAAAAAGCTCTTAATTAACCCTGCATTTAATTTTGATTACTTGCAATGGATGTATAAGTGGCTCAGTCTAAGAAAATAACAGAAGGATTCTGCCTGGGATGCCAGTATACCTGCTGCTCAACACCTTTAAAAGAATTAGAAAGATTGAGTTAGTTTTAGCTAAAAAGGAATTACAGCAAAGTTTCTGCACACAAACTTCTGAGCTTACAAGATCAGTGTTTTGACTTTTTCCAATTGACATTGGTGAGGTTTTTCTTACCAACTGCATTGGAAATAGAAGTGTAATTTTTAAATGTTGTGCATTCTTAATCACTCTGTTTTACTTGCATGCTGATAGCAACTAGTGAAGAAAACTGTTTCCTTTTGAGAATCAATAAGCGTGATTCATTTTTTTTAATGTAAAACTCAATTTAAATTCTATATTTTTTTTGGTATTACTCTCAGTTCTCAGAAACTGGAAATGTTTTTCAATGAATTTTGTATTCATTCGTACTTAACAAATACTCTTTTGAATTGTGTAGGTATAAATGATGGAAAACATTCGGTTTCTAAACACAAACAGCTATATTTAAGCACTACTGAGTGAGGCAGTGCAAATTCCTTTAAGATTCCCCAAGTATGTTTTTTCCTTCACCATGCTTCTCTCCTATTTTTGACAGAATGACACATTTAATGAAACTTTGATAATGGTCAGTACTTACTGCACACATGTTGCCTAAAAGTTTATGAATGTTAATTCTTAGAACAGGTATACCCTGTAACAGCACCTTCAGTACATATACTGTACCTCAGAAGTTCCTGGCTGTTACTGCTGTAGACCCCCAGCAGTCTGTTTCCTTACGGTAATGAGTTTACTGATGATACTTGGTTAATAAGAAATAATTCAAAGTTTTTGGCCTGAATAAAACTGCTGTGGTATTGACATGTTGGGGGGGAGTCTGCTACTTTTATTTTTTCGAGCATACAATAAAATGTATTAACTTCCATTGGCACCTACTTCAGAAGTGTGATCTACAAGTTATACTACATTCTAAAATGTTGATCTTGTTCAATAAAAGTTTCTAAAAAAAAATAAATAATCAAAACCCCCACACTTTGGCTGGACTGAAAAGTTCTCTTAGACTTAATTTCTGTACTAGAAAAAAAAAGCGGCTAGAATACTTTGAAAAATTCTGGACTAGGCTTTAAAGATGACACAAATTTGTTTTACAATTTGTGTGCTCACTTATATCCAGTTGATCAGATTGGACCTTATTTACTTTAGTAACTCACTAAATATTTAGCTGTAGAACAAATGAAGCATTGCATTAATGAAGTTAATTACACTATCTAAGGCCATTATTAGGGTTTTGCTCCATTGCATGTTATCTTGGGGCAAGGCTCCGTTTTTTAGTTTGGCTTTTGTTTTTGGTTTTTTTTTCCTTTATCGCTTATTTACTGCTTTTCATGTTTTTCTATTTGGTGTTACATTCAAAAAAAGCACATTAAAAAGCCTGGGTTTATTTTCCTTTTTGATTCTGCTTTTTGTGTTGAGTTATATATTTAAATATTAGCAATAACCTGCCTTAGGCTCATATTTGAGACTTAGTTACCTCATCTATGTTTTTTTTTAAATAGATGGTAAAGGTGATACCTTTTAAATAGCAGTGACAAAAACTACTGCTGCTAATAAATTGAAAAAGTAGTTAACTTTTTGCGTTATTTTGTTCAATTATTTTAATCCAAAAAGATGACTTTTTATGTTGGAAATCCAGTATTAAAAGAAGATCCTGTTGTTGCTTTTTAAATTAAATATATCTGCACAACATTTGAAAATATTGTTAAAAGGTAGAATCTCATCTGTCTACTGAGTACTAACTTTTCTAACAAATACTAGATTTTCTGATTTGTATCTAACTTTTCTGTATATCTTAATTTTTCTTAACAATCTTTGTGTGCTTCTTCTCATGAATGGCTTGTGGTGGTTGAATAAATATATGGAGCCCTCTTGTTACTAATTGTAGTAAACTGTAGTTTGAAGTTCAACAGCCTGTGGAGAATAACAAGATATGTTGCAATACAGTATTTTGTACACCGTTACTATTCAAAGTAATTGGCAGTGCAGAAAAAAGTAGTGTGGCATAAAGTGGTGTATTAGAGATAATTGAGTAATTACGCGATGATAAACACAGGTTCACATTATAAGCCTGAACAAAACAAATAAGTGTAGCAGGACTGAATTATTTTTTACGTTACCCTGATTTTTGTCAGTATATCAAAACCAGTGATGATTGGTTAGCTTTTATTTTGTGCATCCCCAGAAGAGCTAGAAAGGGATGGTTATATTTGATGCTTTTTTTATATTCAGTGGTCTGATAAAATGCAGTTGTTAGATCTGAGGCCCTCATATTTTTTTTCCACAATATGAATGATCTTTCCACTCTCTATGAATTGTATCCTATCTGAACAGTGAGTTTGACAAGGAATGATACAGTTCAGAGGAGTTTTTAAGCGTTATGTTATCTCTTAGATTTTATAGGATGCCTTCATTAAATCTTTTATTTGTTGTTTTCCTACAAAGCTGAGGCTTAAGTTAGGATGCTATGTAAAAGATTTTCCTTGATTTTGCTTTGGTTTTTTGTATGCAATCTTTTTATTTCAGTGTCTAAAATTTTAAGAAATGCCAAGTATAGGTAGACATTAAACATGCATGGGATAGCAACATGTAGTACTTTTAGTGCTTTAGTAAGTTATTTCTTAGTTCTACTCAAAAATATTTCAGGAGTAAGTAGTTTACATATTTTAAGTATCTTTGTTATTCAAACTATCCGAATTTGTGTTATCAAACAATTACTTGTAGCTTGCTGCTAAAATACAGAAGTAAATGTTCTTTGAAATGAAAATGTTTTGTGTGATAGCTTAACTAATGTTGTCATAACATGAATGCGTTTGTTTAGGACTCAAATTATTTGAACCTTGCTTTCTTTTCTGTTTTGTCTTTGCTTTCCCTTTTTTCAATGTTCTCACGAAATAGTTGCCAAAACTGACTGTGGCATTACTTCTGTGAATTCTTTTATGCAGTCTCTCTGTAGACTGTATGTTAGCGCATTTTGGTCAAATAAGCACTGTAAAATCAGTTATGTATTCTCTGGATGTCTCTTCATTTGAATAGGCGCTGGTTCTCAATACAAAATAACCAACTTGTGTACCAGAAGAAATTTAAGGTAGGTATCAAAAACTGGCTTGGGATAGTTTGGGGTGTGGGTGATGGTTTTCCTGATTGATCGGGGGAAGGAGAAGCAGTGCTGACATGGGTAGCCTGTGTGGTCTTCAACAACCTACTGCATTTTCTAAATTACATTCTCCTTTGAGAAAATGAGACTTCTCCCCTTGTAAAATGAGACTTAATTGCTACACTTCCAGATTTTGAGATTCCTGCACAGTGACTTGTAAGCACATACTTTATTTGCTGTGGGTTTTGTTACCTTGTTGCAGAGAAGGTTTATGAAGAGCCTTAAAAGTTGTTGGTCCCAAAAGGCTTGTACGCACTTGGTGGCAGTGGAATATTCCGTGCTGTTTTTCGAGCAGTTGTGTTTAACTCTTTCAGGACTTCCTCCTTCCAGTTGCTTACTGGGTTCACATATCCAATTTAGCAACGGGGGAGAGAGGCGGGGAAAAGAAGGCATGAAAGCATTTGTTATAAAACAGTCAGGAATGTTATGTACATGTATTTGATACTGAAAATATGAGGCGATTCAGCAGCCAATGTCTGTCTGCTTGCTGGTGGGAAAGTACAGTTGTATATTACAGCGATGAGTGCAGCTCTGCCCCAAGCTGTGGAAGCCAGCCTTTTCAACCAACATTTGGGCCTGTGCTCCTTTATTTACTGTTCTAGAATCTGCTTATGCACCACATAGCTGTAACTGTTCTTCGTGTTGGAAAAAAACAGAGAACTGTATGGAGATGGGAGGCGGGGCGGGGGGGGGAGCTAAACACAATTAATTTCTCTTCAGTGTTAACAGATCAGAGGTTATTCCTTGTTACCTGATACTATCAAATTAAGGGGTTTCATTTTTGTGGTTGGAAAGGAAGGAAACTGTTGACTTTGAGCACATTTGAGTTGGGCATTTTGTGTTTGTGAATTCCAATTACATTTTTATGTTTTTTAAAAACTCACCTTTAAAATGCCATTAGCTTAGAATAGAATTCTTATGAATTGAATCAAATTTTCAAAACCACTGCATCCAGCTTCTGGGTTTTGTACTTGGCACTTATAATACTGCTGATTTAGGTGTAATCTTTCTGATTTATTTGTGATTTAATTGCATCTCTTAGAAAGTATCTTTGAACTCCTTTGAATACTGTTGTTTAAATTTAAGATGTTGATTATTTAGTACATTGGATTGCAGGTAAAAAGTAATTCTCCAAAGTTTGCATTAAATTTTCATTAAATACAACTAAACACTAAAACTTATCTAAATACTTCCTGCTAAGTATCTCTGATTCTACCTACTTAAAATTATATTTTTGGAGGAAAAATTTGTGTAAACAAGCAAATATAATTCAATGATAAATAATTTGGGATTATTAGCAACTTTATTCTCTTTCCTCTATGTGACATTTTTGTTGATTTTTGTCTCTTAGGATAATCCCACGGTAGTTGTTGAAGACTTGCGGCTTTGCACAGTTAAACACTGTGAAGACATAGAAAGACGTTTCTGTTTTGAAGTGGTTTCTCCAACAAAGTAAGAAGTGATGGAACACATTTATTTAAAAATAAAAAAGTCATTGCATTCGGTTGTCTTGAAATGCAAGATTAACATTTCTCTTGGAGTAGATCAAAACAGAAAAAGTATCTGAACAGTTCTCTTCTCTGAAATATTTGGTAAGAGAAGTGATGCTGTGAGAAGTGTTCCTAGTATTCAGTTTACTTTGGCATTAACATAAACATGCATTCTTGTGCTTTAAGCATAAAAGGCTTGTGGTTGTGGAGCTGTTGGGGCTTAGTAGTAGCTGATGCTATCAAACTACATAGTAATGTAGAAAATAGATCTGCTTCTCCAGATTTCTGATTGGTGTAATGAGAGAGAAACATACTAACAAGCTGTTGTCTCCAGTAGTGTTATATTACATTTGAGAATACACTACATGAAACTACCAAATAAAAATATTTTTCAGCTGTAGCAGTGCAGTGTATTGGTTTGGTTGTATTTGGAGAAGCATGGCAGTCCTGCTGCAGGAAGGGCAGGACATGGATTTCTTATTAATGATTTTGAGATGTGACCATATTTAAGTTTTTGATATAAGATCAACCTGCTTTTAGGTTTGGATGTTATCTACACTCCCCACTCCTACTTAACGTTTCTCTTCTTAATAGATTGCTGTCCTAATGTTTGCATCCTCGTCTGTGGTTCACTTTAACGTGCATTTTGCTCCTGCTTGCCTATGCTTTTTCAACCCATAAGTGTTGGAACAGTTTTGTACTTCATGACCTGTTTCCTTTGATTGTTGGTGTGAAAAGTAGTTCACTCTTTGTCAGAGAGCTTTAAAATAATTTTCTCTTGATCTCAGTGAATGAAACTGTTTTGAAGGACTTATACCTGTATCTTGTGTAATTAGTCATGGAGGCAAATTGCATGGGAGGATATAAAAATGAAAAACTTGGAATAAGAAAAGAAAGGGAATAGGAAACTAAGCCATTCCCTGGTCATATCTATATGTTTCAGCATTACCTGCAAATAGTTTTGAAACAAGGAGTTTGCAATTCATAAAGGGTTAGCTGCTTCGTTATCTCAAAATAAACAGGTTTATTAGATGATGCCTATTAAACCATATACTTGTGGTGCTAGCGAGAAACTTTCTCAAGAGTCTGTATTTTATTGAACAATGTGTTATTTGATGTTAGCTGCTTGGTCAGTCTCTTTCAATCTGAGTACACGTGTGATTTGTCACAGAAGCTGCATGCTTCAGGCTGATTCGGAAAAGCTGCGGCAGGCATGGATTAAGGCTGTTCAGACCAGTATTGCTACAGCATATAGAGAGAAAGGGGATGAATCTGAGGTGAGTTTAAAAACCAACCAAACAACAACTGCTCTTTAGATCCTGAAAATTAAAAACAGAGAAAACCTCTTTTTATGAGAGGGAAGGAAAAAAAGAATCCATTGTTTGTCTTCCAGTGGAAATGCAATGAAATTTTGAAGGCTATGATTTATATCTAATCTATCTTTTACTCCATCTTACTAACATTACTTTGGCCTATATGTTTTGATGGATTTTTCTGAAGTGTGATGAAAATTCATAGGATACTCCTATATTCAGTTCTAATACTTCTAAAAAATGAAATATTTTTTCAGTTCTATGGGCTTCCTTGGCCTTAAACGCAGAAGTTATTTTTTTCTATGATTCTAGTGCACAGTCCGTATCCGTAGGACTTCTATTTCTTTAATTTAGTGTGTGTGTCTGTCTTGTTTGTTTCTTTCTTTTCTTTTCTTTTAGAAACAGGAAAAGAAATCATCCCCTTCTACTGGAAGCCTAGAGTCTGGCAGTGAGACAAAAGAGAAGTTGTTAAAGGGAGAAAGTGCTCTACAGCGAGTTCAGTGTATTCCTGGTAATGCTGCCTGCTGTGATTGTGGTTTGGCAGATCCTCGCTGGGCCAGTATCAACCTAGGAATCACACTGTGCATCGAGTGCTCTGGGATACACAGGTTGGGGAACTCTTCAGAACTGTATTTAATTTGTGCATTGACTTAATTAGGAAGGGTGGTGTTTGCCTCTTCAAATGTATATTGAAGCAAGATTAGAGACCCCTGTTTGTAAACAGAATTAAGGTAACTGCTTTATTTGCTGTCCTGGTTTCAGCTGGGATAGAGTTAACTGTCTTCCTAGTAGCTGGTACAGTGCTATCTTTTGAGTTCAGTATGTGAAGAATGTTGGTAACACTGATGTTTTCAGTTGTTGCTCAGTAGTGTTTAGACTATAGTCAAGGATTTTTCAGCTTCCCATGCCCAGCCAGGGCACCTGACCCAAACTGGCCAACAGTGTATTCCATACCATGGGACGTCCCATCTAGTTTAGGAACTGGAAAGGGGAGGGCAGGGATTCGCCGCTCGGGGACTGGCTGGTTGTCGGTGGGTGGTGAGCAATTGCCCTGCGCATCATTTGTACATTCCAATCCTTTTATTACTACTGTTGTCATTTTATTAGTGTTATCATTATTAGTTTCTTCTTTTCTGTTCTATTAAACCGTTCTTATCTCAACCCAGGAGTTTTACTTCTTTTCCTGATTTTCTCCCCCATCCCACTGGATGGGGGGGAGTGAGTGAGCAGCTGCGTGGTGCTTAGTTGCTGGCTGGGGTTAAACCACGACATTTGCATAAATTATTGGTAAAGCTGTCTGAAGTAAGACATAGCATGCAGTTACAGGTTAATATTTTTTCATGCTGTTTAGGAGCTTGGGAGTCCACTTTTCAAAAGTAAGATCTTTAACGCTGGATTCATGGGAACCTGAACTTCTAAAGGTATGATAGTAGTTTTGAAACAAGTTTCTATTTGGTACTTAGATTGTTGTTTGAAAGCTTCTGCATCAGAAAGTTCAATGCAGGAAACACTTGCATTTGTATCCAGTGTATGTCTTGCACTTTTGAGTAGAAAATGTTTATAGTTGTGTGTTGGTTTTGTTTGGTTTTTTTTAATTCACACTTTCTTATAATACATGCAGTAGCAATAGTTATTCTTGTTAGAAACTTGTGAGTCAGAACAGCTTAGGACACCTTCAGGTTCACAAATGCAATTTGAGTAGTAAGTTTCATCTGATACTTTCAACATATAAAAAGGGAAGTCTGTTTACAGACCAATAATGTAGTGGGCTGACAAATTTTGGAAGTCCTATATCAGCCTAAAGCATGATCATATTTGAAAATTCAAATGCCAGCTCTTACAGTGAGATCTTGATTTTGTACTCCTACTGGTTTATAGGAGAACACTCATGCAACTGCTCTTGTGTGCTACTCGTGTGCCAAAATTCTAGCTTGAAACATGGTTATGAAAATCATGTTGATATTGAAATACCAAAATAGGAACTTGCGCACTGATGCGTTTGTGCAACTGGGTAACAGTTGCAAAGCATTTGTTTTTAGGTGTGATGTTCTGGTACTTAGGTATTGCTTCTCTGTTCTGAGCAATCAGAAGTCAATGTGAAGAGGGGTGTTGCTTTTGCAGTTTGACCTTAAATAGTTTTAATATCAATGTGTTCATGCTGAGGAAACAAACAAACAAAAACCCCCCAAAACTATACCTCTTATCCTGTTCATGTAAATACCAGAGCTAAATGTTCTATCTGGTATTAGAAGCAAGAAGTCTGTTCATTGCCATCAGTAAGTTTGACTTCATGGGCCAAATTCTTTTTAAAAGTAGTATCTGCAGGCTGCTTTTTGTCTTTGATCTTTTTCTATAGACATAACAGATTATGGTTTAGCAAAAAGCCTGTTGGACAAGATGGAGTAGAGTTGATTGAATTGTCTCTTGCTGACTGATGGGATAAGAATAGCTACTGGCAAAGCTAGTAGAAAAGAGTACCTTTGTTAATGAGGCTTGAAGATGTCACTCTGGACAGAAAAGATTCTTGAATGACAGATGGTAATTTTTGCACTCCTTTTCCAGAAGGGAATGGCACTTTAAAAGAGTGACTATATTTTTTGCTATCTTACTCAGAAATTGGTCTCTCTATTCACTGATTGTTTCATTATCATGATGTAAACCCATGCTTATTTCTGTAAGTGTACTTTTACCAGTGAAAATACTAAGTTGTAAAAATAGGCTAAGTGAGGTTAAAACCAACTAAATAGGTAGATAAAGCCTTTTGCAACTGTATTTGAGTTTGTTTACTTTGCTTCACAGCTTATGTGTGAATTGGGAAATGGTGTTATAAATAGAATATATGAAGCAAAGTTGGAAAAAGTGGGAGTAAAGAAGCCACAACCTGGAAGCCAAAGGTAGTAATTTACCAGCAGTGCCTCTTACTTCCTTCTGTTGTTGCTTCCTTCTGCCTCCAGCTTTAAAACATGCTGCTAGTTAACTATGTAACGCTCCTTTGATTTAATCTTTGTTTCCCCTTATCACCAGGGGATAAACATGTTATCAGTATGTTTTGCTCTCCCCCTTTTCTCACTCTGTGTCTTTACTGGGTATTCCTTCTCTTGGTTACTTTTGGCTTCTCTTGTTACTTTTTTCTTTTTCTGATCTCAATCCCTCCTTTTGGTGACAACTGTATAGCATTCTGTTCTGTCTCATCAACGTGGGCATGTTGATTTTGTTTCCTGTTTACTTTGTACCATTTCAGCCAGCTCTACTTTGTGAGTGCTCCTGGAAGGAGCCTTTGGCTGTGCCTTTTGTTTACAGTGACTTTGTTCTTGAGTTTGACTTTTGTTCCCTGATCCCCAGAATGCTCCCTTCTTTCTGCCTACATTGTACATGAGCTCTGCTGCTTTACAGCAACCTTTTAATTGATTGTACTGCTGTCTTCCATTTCTCTGATGCTAATTTGTGTTTGAAGGTAGTTACCTAATGTTTGGTTCTGCTGTATAAGATGTCTTTTAAAACTTTGGTTTTTACCAGCTTTCCAGTTCTGTGCTGCTTGCTGTCAGGCAGTTTTATGGTATAGAAAACAGCGTTTTATAAAGTGTTGGCAATTTGGAGACAATGATAATGATATAATGTAAGAGATTTGCTAGATATTCCTTCTAGTGGTAACTGTTTTTCAGCAGTATCAATAGTAATACTTCTATAGCCCCTTTCATCAGGTTGTCACAACTGATGTGTACGTCTTAAGAGGATAACCTCAGGTTACAAGAAGAAATATTTCAGTATGCATTATGGAACTGGTGGCTGTGCCTACCTGAGGCTTATTGTTGTTACTGTTCTCTTGTGCAAGCTTGATGTTCCTGTAACAAATGTTACAATTTATATTTACCTAAGAAACTAAATATATGCTATATTAGTTGGTTATTAACAATGTAAAATATGTATAAAGGATTAATGCCAAGAAGTAACATACAGTGACTAATGCTTATTTCTTCCACATACCACTTTCTAAAGTCTACCTGAAAGGAAATATACATATATGAATTTAACAAAATTACTTTCTTTTGACCCTTATGCAAAATTTAATCAAGAATCCAGAAAGAGTTAGATAGTGTCCTTTTCATATTTCTGAAAATGTGCTGTAAGCATGTCTTATGTGCAATGCCAAACTACAGTTTTGGTTACTGGCTTTAGTATGAAATAGATGTTCTTTTAATACATAAAGATACTAAAATATTAGCTTACTAACTCCAGGGATTTTGTATATGACAGGCAGGAGAAGGAGGCATACATCAGAGCAAAATATGTGGAGAGAAAGTTTGTAGAGAGGCAGCCTGTGTCAGTATCTCTGCTTGAATCCGGAACAAAAGTTTTGCCTCAAAGTCAGGAAGAGAAAAGGCACAGTGGCCCTGAAAAATCCCTTTTGGCAGGGGAACAAGGTGCGGCATCCCTAAAAGGTATTTACATGCTTCTCTCCTTAGCTATATTACATATGTTCTTTAAGTAACATATTTTTGTATTAATTGATTTCCTGCCTCATGCAGAGAAATCAGAATCTGTCTTTTAATGGGTCATAGCCTAGTTCAGAAGTATAAGGGAGAAAAGACTTGTTCAGAGATGTGTATTTTTAGGTGGGGAAGAGTTTGTAGTGGGGATGCTTATCTTTCAGAAACGTATTAACCACCTTCTTTCCTCCGTATTTTCATCCTTAATTTTTCCAATAACGTTCTTTCCTGCCCTATCCCTTCCTTACTGCCTGCTTTGTGCTTTGCTAACTTGCATGTCCCAGCGGTTGCTGTAAGTAGCGACGAGGCGAGGCGGGAGTCTCTGTTCTGTCCTGATGAACTAGATTCACTCTTCTCCTACTTTGATACCTCTTCAAAACTACGTAGTAGTAAGTACTACAGCTATGGCGTGTTCAGTATTTGCACTAGTGATCCATTGTGTGTTGTGGCCATCTCCCTGCCTTTAATCTATTGTCTCCAGGCTCCTGCATTGCTTAGTGTTTTCATGAAATAATTTAAGCTTTTTTACTTATCCTGATCTTTTCCTTTCTAATAATCTTTGACTATTATTATGGTTGCAATATGTGACTTCCTATTTTTCTATGGATGCATTAAGAATATTGAATAATTATTAGTAATTTTAAAAAAATCATGTATTCAGGACCAAGTATAAGAGCTTGCTTTATTATCATGGTATCTGTGAAGAGTAGGTAACTTACGGTCTGCATAGTAATTACAGTTTCTCCCCAAAACAGTACAAAGCAGTGACAGTGGGATCCAACACAGCGCTGATGACAGCAAAGAACACCTTGTCTCTACTATATCAGCTAACAGTTTGTATGAACCAGGTGTGTTAGGCTTTGCACTTTAAGATGAAAATTTAATCATTTCTTGGTAGCATGTTCTTGTAAAAGGAGTTAGTACTTGGTGATACAATTCATGTCTCTTCTGTCCTGGTGGGCTGAAACATTTTTAAGAAGGGTAGTAATTGTTTGAGTGACCTTTCTCTCCTCCAGGCTTGGTAGCAAGAATGACATTGAGTTTTTCTAAATGAGTTCAGAGAACTATGTTTTTTCCAGTCAGATGATACTGAGCCAGAACTTTGTGTTTTTTACAGATAGAGCAATGCTGCATTTTGATACAGACAAGTCTCCACAGAAATGCATAATCCTTTTATAAATAGTTAAATCCTTGGAGGTAGAATTCCTGTTAAGTCACAGATAATAGGCTTTTATGTGTTATTTGAGCATTGTTGCTTAATTTTTCTGTTTTCTGCTTATGTGGAATTGACCATGTCTTTAAACACTACCCCCTCTTTATTCAAAGTTTTATAAATTGATTGATGAAATTATTTGCTATCTAATATTAGCATCCTGGTCTGATGGATATTTTGACAAGCTATACTCAATACATCTAAAACATTTATTTATAAAGCAATCTTATTCTTCTACATCACAACACTCTTCTGAGATATGTTTTAAATCCAGTAGTTCACAGCTGTGGTGTACAGGCAAGCAGCATGTGGGTTGGATCCTTTCTTTGGCTGCATTGTAGAAACACTTATGATGCTGTAACTTATGAAAGCTTATATATAACAATGTCTTTATCTCCCAGACTTCACTCTCTAAAACTCTTATTGAGATGAAAAGAAAGATTATGCTTTAGTCCAAAAGATTATAGCCACAGCAAGTAATTGGTAAATGACAATGGTATGTGCTAACGAAAATTAGGTCAGAATGGTATTAGCCTCATATTCAGGTGTATCAAGCTGTTGCAGATAAAGATGTATTTGTATGACTACATCACTACAGGAAATTAGTTTTATTCATATCTTGCAGTATAGGATAAAACACACTTGTAACCTAAAGTCATTTCTTAGAAATGACACGGGATATGTAGATTGAATGATATTCACATGTGCCAGTAACGTGGAGAGAATGTTTTTTGGGCAGTAATAATTCTGTGAAGTGGCCATGCCTGAATGCTAGAATAGGCTAAAGGCATCTGTGACTTCTCCTGGCAGAATGGGGCAACAATGCACAGCATTCTGCAAAACCTGAGCTATCTTATGCTGGAGAAATGACATTTTGGTCAGAATTCCAGGAGGTACCTTATAAAAACAGGGATTAGATAAGCAATTGTTTTGGTTTGTTTTTTTTTCAGAAGGAGACAAGCAAGAGTCTTCTGTGTTCTGTGACTCCAAACAGTCTAGTCCAGGATTGCAGCTGTATCGAGCTGCCTTTGAGAAGAATCTGCCTGATATGGCAGAAGCATTGGCCCATGGAGCTGAAGTAAACTGGGTCAACGTAGAAGAAAACAAAGCAACACCACTTATTCAGGCAGTGCGAGGGGTATGTGACATACAGCACTGACTGACATGGGAGGAGGGGAAGGGGAATAATAGGGATATTTCTATGTCACTGTTCCTTTTGAACTGCTTGCATCACTAATGAATGATAATGTGGTGCTGAAGTTGTCTTTACAATGTTCTCTCAAAGTTGTTTATGAACTATTTAATGCTTTGTTTGGAATTATATAACCTAGTAGTGTTTAAATTTGATATGGAAGCAAATCCATTTTGTTTCGCCACGTGACTCAGTGGTGAGAAGGCAAAATGTGTTTGGCTCTTACTGTAGAGATCTGGTGATGAATTGTTTCTTTGTATTTATTCCGTAGGGTTCGTTGGTTACTTGTGAATTTTTGCTGCAGAATGGGGCCAATGTGAACATCAGGGACATGAAAGGAAGAGGACCCCTGCACCATGCCACGGTTCTAGGACACACTGGGTAACTGTCTGCTCCAGAATTTGTAAATGGCCATCCTTTACTGTAGTTGTTAATGTGAAGCTTCTTCATTTCCCCAAATATTCTGCCCTTTTAATATATTTCAGGTGATCCAGGTTTTTCTCTAAACTTTTGTGGTGAGAGAGGAAACAACATTTTGAATTAGTAGTCTCATCTGCTAGCTAAACACATGCCTATAAACACACTTTGGTCCATTTTGTAAAAACATGTATTTAATAATGCTTTGAAATAGCATGAACTTTTGGTGAAGGCTCATGAGATCTTTTTTTTTCTTCAGAAATATGATACAAGTTGGAGAGAGAGTGGTGTGTGAGGGCCAAGGCTTTTTCTGACGCATTCCACCTGTGTGTTGCACTGAGAGTGTATCTTAAATGTACTGCATTACATCTTGAATTTTGGAATCATGGCTTTTAACTGAAACCCTGTACCACCTCACTTCAAGTGAGGACATAGTAATCTGGTTGGTGGTGCCCAAACTCTTTGCATGCATGAATTCTAAATAGCGTGAGTGCAAGAACTTGGGAGAGTTTAAGATGTAAGCTTAGTCAGTATGCTATGTTTATAAAGATCAAGAATTATAATAGCAGAGAAAAATGAGATCAGTTTCTGTTGGATAAATCAGGCATCTGTGAACTGTATTCTTTCCTGTATTGATTTATCCTGTTCAGTGGTTCTTGTCTGTTGTAGTAAAAGGGATGAGGTTTTTTGGTTCTACAACCTAAGGTGATACAGGAGGGTAGAGTCTTGCTTCTAAAGGGTTCAACTCCTTGCTGCACTATTGTGTGATTTGAGTTAGGCATCTTTCTAATGTGGATTAAATAATTAAAGGTTTTGCTTACTACTGTGTTAACGTCTTAGTTGTTCTAGATGAACAACACTGTTTTGAGATGTTCAGGAGACTTCTGGCAATTTAAGCCAAATATGTTGCATTCAGCTTGAATTTATTTGCTTTTTTCCATTATTGTTGTGAAAATTATTCTTAAATGCTTTTTCTAAACAGACAAGTGTGTTTATTCCTAAAACGAGGAGCAAACCAGCATGCCACTGATGAAGATGGGAAAGATCCATTGAGTATAGCAGTAGAAGCTGCAAATGCAGATATTGTAACATTGTAAGTTGTACATTATGTTTTTGACTAACTGGGTTTTCTTTTTCTGTTTCAAGCTAAAAATATAAGAAATGTCAGAATTCCTTTACATAAACACAGGGAGAGCAAAAGAAAAAGCAGAGTGCACTATCCATAGATGACCTGACTGGTGTGAGGTTCAGGAATGCATTGTAGGTCTTGAATTGTAGTCTTTTTTTAGTGCTTTAAAGATGACATTGTTGTTCTTGTTTCCTAAATCATAGGTTGCGTTTAGCAAGGATGAATGAAGAAATGCGTGAATCAGAAGGACTCTATGGACAGCCAGGTCAATACTCTACTAATAACCATACTGAAATGCAGTATAAGAAGTGTATTCAGGAATTTATCAGTTTACAATTAGATTCTTAGGAGCTGAGGGAAATTGAAGATAGCTTCATACAATAATGTTTTTTATAAACTGACATATGTTAAAGCTTCATTGAAATTCACTGGTGTGACTTTGTCAGAGTATTTAGGGGACTAAAAGGAGAGTGTTTAAAGTACATTATTATAGTAGTGTATGTAACTACAGCCATTACCAACCTGTTTTGCTGGTAGTTGTCCACAGTTTTCTCCTATTATGTTCCATTGAAAATCACGTGATGTTAGGATTTACCTGATGTTATTTAATAGCAGCCTTCTGTCCCAGGTTGCTCAGAGGCAGTTGAGCAGTTCATCTTATTATAGGATACCATTGTCCTTCCTGTGGAATGGTCCTCTTTTTCTTTTTAAGAAAAAATGCTTGCACACCAATGTAAAAATGTACATCAAATATTTCAAAATAACTCCAGACAGAAATAGGAAAGTATTATTTCCTCAAATTTTATTTTTAAATATTTTTATTTGTTAAGATACAAATAAGAAACAAAGCAGTCATTCTTAAGTATGTATTTTTGTATGCATAGTATCTTACCATTTGATTTAAAAAAAAGAAAAGAATTGGCAGACATTTGAGCCAACTGGTACAGGGAAGTAAAAAATTATATTTAATGAATATGTGCAACTTTATTCTCAGGCATTCAGCCCCAATTTACACTATGTTCTGATGTGATATTTATGCAAGCCATTTCTTCTATTATGGTATGCTTCCATAGGAACCTAATTTGATCTCCTGCAAATATCAATAATGAAGGTACACATGACTGTCGAGTTAGCTAAGAACACGCCACTGTACCCGGCAGTAGTGAAAGGCAAGCCTTATTTTTAAGGTTTAGTGCTGAGTACTCTTGGCTCACTCCTATAAAGCCCTTATGTACTTTCCACTGATTCAAAAAGATTATGTGTGATTATGTCTTTTACCGGATTGGGGCTGGAATATACTCAAGGGGCAACGCTGAATCTCATGTCAATATCCCCGATAAACTCTATTAAATAAACCCAATTTGTTTAGTTTCTCCTTAAGAACAGATGTTTTTCAAATTTATTTTTAAACAAATCTTGTAGGAAATTCAGATTAAAACAATAGAAGTATTATAGACACTCAGAATTCAAATGCTTTCTTTGGTAGAGCAACAGATAATTTAAAAGTATATACTTGGTCATGAGCTTAAATGAGGAAGAATTCCCCACTCAGAAAATGCAGCAGGCTATGTATATGAAAAAAGTCTATTGCCAGTTTGGCCATTTTACATGTAAAGCTGTTTTCTGATATAATGCATACTACTTTACCGACAGGCTGAAGGTAACAAATACTGATGTATTTTTGAGTCTCCTGATTTTTATTTTAAGAGGTAATAACTATCAGTTTCAAATAGTAAAATGCCTTTGTTTGAAGGGAGGTAGGTATTTTGATTCAAAAGCTCTGCGCTAAATCATAAATTTAATATTTGGGGTCATTTAATTGACCTGTCACAAATCCAAAGTATTATAAACCAGAAGATATGTTTCTATAGTTTGTACAAAAAGCCTCAGTTGGTTATTAAATGCTACAAATGTTTAGTAAAATGTTTCTTTAATAACAAATACAGGCACTAAGATGAAAATATGAATGTGTTTAAACTGGAGATGGGGGGGACTGTTTTCCCTGACACCTTGTATAATTTTTTTTTTTTAGACAGATTCTTCAATTAGGTAGACAAATTAAAAAGCTGGCTAAGTCTTTCATTGAAAATATCTTGACCTTTTTATCAGTTTGTATTACAGTAGAATCTAGAGACTGCAGTTGATACAATCTGATCCAGATATCTTACAGATAGGATCAGATCATTGTAAACAGGCAAGATTGACAATGGAAACTAGAGCTACCACAAAGGATAGAGCTTGCCCAAAATCAGGGGGAGGGTATCCTTAGGATAGTTTTTGAAATTCAGGCCACAAGCTGTAGCACAGTGTCCCAGCCGCAGATCTTGCTGTATCTTTGGATAGCATAGTTCTGCTCTCCTCGGTTCTTTACTTGCTGAAGTCTCTTTTAAAAGTGGAGGTAAATATTTGTGTATTTTAAATGTTCATGTCTGCTAGCCTACTAGAAGGGTTGTGTAAATGTGTAAGTGTATGCACAAAACCTCTCTGCTCTTGCAAGGTATGATATCTTTACGTGGTCGTAGAGGTGGCAGGTCTTTTTCACTGCATATACATGTTCAATTATCTGCACTGCCCTTATTTTAGAACTCCTCTCCTCCAAAATTATGGTTCTAGAAGAAAATAAGGATTTTCAAGACAATTGTATGTTTGGTGGGAGCTATGTGAGGGTAAATATCGATGTATGAGTTTGCTGTCATCAGAGTGAAGCCAACTGCCTATTTTTCCGCTTCAGTAATGCAGTTGATAAACAATTACTAATGTAGCTAATGGCATCAACATTTCTAATTTAAATATACCTGGCTGGTTTGAGCTACTGAGAGGATGTATATATTTCTCTGTGAGGTACAGTTGGTCTTCCAAAATATTGCTAGAATGGGAACTAGCTGAAAGTAACTTGTTCAACAAAAAGTTCATTTCTGGTGGTAGAAGCCATATGCACCATTGTACTGTTTCTCATATAATACTTGAGTGCTCATCTTCTGGTGCTACAGTATGTCTGCTAAATATTTGATATTAGTTTTGCTACTTTTTTCTTTCTATCTTTTCTTGAATGTATGATGTGTGCCTTTTGAGTTACTGTGGTGTTAAATGGTAAAGCGGTGTTATAGTATTTTTGTACGTAAAATTTGCACTTTAGGGAAAACATTGCTTGGAAAGGGAATTTCCAGAATTCAATTTTAGAGTAGGATTTTAAAATAATTATAAGGTTTACAGTATTAAGTATTTTAATGCAGCTTACAAACTAAAGGGACACTTTATTTTAGTCTATTTTTGTATGCAATATTTTTGTTATGTAATAGAGCCAAAACAGAGCCACAATGTATCTTGCAAAAATCCTTTGTTTTTTCTTTCAAGTTAATTTGAAAGAACCAGATATGGCAACTTGAACTACACTACTAGTTCACCAGTGGAACCCACTTCTGTATTAAAAGCATAATTGCTTTTATCATACAAGCTTGATTCCGATTTGTGCTCTTCGTAGCTGTTCTTTTGGTGAATGCTAAAACTCCCTTCATTCTGTGCTTATCTCTCAGTGCAAGCAGTTATCAGAACTGTTACAATAAAATGTGTCCTGTGCCTGCTTCATCTCTAGAACATACTTGAAACTAAATCTGAAAACCAGAAGGGAATTTCACTAGAGCTGACTTTTCCTAGTAGAGCCATATTGAACGTATTTATCTTTTAAAGTCTGGGAAGAATTGTGTCATTACATTTTTATATAAACCCACATGCCATGCATGTTAAATATTTCTGGAAGGTCAGTTATCATTTCTGAAAGTATTTTCAAATGAATGGGGTCTCATCTCCAAAAGAACAATAGTTCTAATATTGGAAATGTGCATTAAAAGATGGAAAAAGAAAACAGTTTAACTTTTCACTGTAGTGCAAACTTTTAAACACACAAATATTCTTTTTTAAAGCTGCTCTTTGGAAAGAAAAGTGAAATAATACTTTTCTTCTGCAATCATTTTGGAAAAAAAAATCTTCATGTTCAACATACATTATGAGAGAGATTTTGGGTTGATTTTTTTTGTCATGCTACGCTAAAGCTGTCGGCAAGGAACAGTAGTGCTGGGCTCTTGTGTCCTATGTGGTCGTGTGTGTTGGGAAGACAGCAAAATTTGGATGGCTGCATAGTTCCTGACCAGACCAAATGTTTTATGCAATTAATTCCCTTTGAAGGCAATAGGGTACGGTTAATGTTTTAAAATGAAACCTGAACTCAAGGCCCAAAATGCTGCAGCAGATGAAAGAATGTGAAAATGTCCATTTTAAAGTGGCAAAAGAATGACTTGGCAATGACTCAAGAAGTAATCATTCCTGAATGTGTTTTCCTGTGTAGACAGGGAGGGGGAGGGAGATGGGCCTGGTGGAAATTGCTGCCATCCCGCATTTTGGAATATGTACTAGTAGTCAGGTTGTGTTTAAGCACAAAGGGTGAAGATTTAAAAAAAAAAAAACAAACAAAAAAAAACCCAAAACAAACAAAAAAACCCCCAAAAACCCAAACCCCAAATGAAAGACGTTTAAGGAAAGTATTATCACTTTTATAAATAAAACTAAAAGATGCAATGAATGTTCAGTAATGCATGTAAAAATTTATATTTGCTGAAGTAATAGACCAAAAGGATTTATGAACAATAATTTCTCTATTTAGGATTGCTTTTTTAATACTATTGCTTGCTGATTGTTTCTTTCATGGAGACTTCTGTCTGGCTGTAAGACTTCTGACCTCTGTTTCCAAGTAAATCTTTATGCCATAATTCCACTTTTCTGAAGAGAATCTTGGTTAGCACTTCCTTGCAAAAACAAGGATTTTATTCTTTAATAGCTAATAAACATTTTTCTTTTCACATTGCTTTAAAATGCTTTTGTTTTTCCTTTCTAACTCTGAACTTTCCTCTGTGTGGCTGCCTGAGAGGTACAATTTCAGGTATAGTTTGGCTTTGTTTAATTTGCTTCTACAGAACATGCATGCAAGTTAACAGTCCCAAAGAGTTCACATCAGCATCATTCTATCTATAAACAATCTTTATACGTGAATAAGTGTTATACAGTGGTAGCACAGTAGGGCATTTGTGCAATGGTGGGTGATGTTAATTATCACAAATGTTTAAAACTGTTTCCCTTTTCTTTTCTATCTAGGAGATGAAATTTATCAGGACATTTTTCGTGACTTTTCTCAAATGGCATCAAATAATCCAGAGAAGCTAAACCGTTTCCAGCAGTCAGATTCCCAGAAGTCTTAAGTGTCAAGAAGGAAAAGAACCTGATCCTTAGAGTGCAACTCTTTTTTTTTTTTTTTTTTTTTTACTTTAACAGAATGAATTATATGCATTTTGTTAGATAGTTTGGATAAAATGACCACTCTAATGTAGCTTTAGATTGTGGTAGCTGGGGAAATGTATGAATTGTTTTATGTTCTACAATACGTATACCTCAGCAGCTGAAGAAAATGTTTAGAAAAAGGAATACCTGCTAGCTCAGTATAAAAATAGTACCTGTTAGCAAGTACCAAGTTTGTCTGTGGTTCGTACATAAAGTTAGCAGTGTGTAGCTGTATGCGTTGCAGACTCCCGATGGCAGGACGAGCAGACCAGCTTTGCTATTTAGTATTGCCTACTGTCATCTGTCTCCCTATTGCCATAAAGAATGTGCCTCTGACAAGAAGGTCTGGGTTGCATTTTCTGGGACTGTTTGGAAGGGAAATCGGATAATGACTTCTTGAGTTGTCCTTCTGTTTGTGGGCCTATAACTTAACAGGTTCTCTTGTTCCTGTGCCGACTCTGGTTAGAGGTAGGCTGTTAATAACAAGACATGGCAACTCCTGCTCTTTTGTAAGTTCTTTCACAGTGGAAGCTTTAACACCAGGCTGGCCTTTATGCTAGTGACTGCGGGTCAGTCACAATAGGTATACATCCTGGAGGACCAAACTTCTAAGAGCAGTCTGTTTTCCTTTTTTTCTCTTAACTTAAACTCTCTGTGCAGCAAGTATACTTTTAAATGAGCATGTGGAACCTCTCATGAAAAATAAACTTAATCATTCTGGACATGATGTGAGGTTTGTTTGTAGTATTTTGACATCAAAACTTGAAATTGGAGACATGAAAGTAAATATTGAGCCAATGGAGTTTGTGTAGAACAGTCGTACGAAGGCTGTTTGTTACCTTTTCTTTTTGCTGTTCTCACTACTAGCCATAAGCTGAGTATATAAAGTCTCATATGTAATGCAGCCATGCTAAATTGAGGGCAATTGATCCTTTTTACCAGGAAGCAGTATCCTTTATATAATCTGCAAAGAAGTATATGGATACATGTTGTCTAAACTAACGTGTGCACAAGAAAACCTAGGAACTTCACCACACATTTTAGCGAAGTAATGAATGAGCATAGTCTCCAGCTGTATTCTGAGGGCAGCAACACAATTTGCTTTACTCAATAGTGAGCTCCACTCTGCTGATACGCATGCATAAATGGTGTCTGTAGATACGTGCTTATGTGTCAGGTTATTTAATACCTAGACAGTAATCACCTGAAGCCCCAAACCAGCAGATGCCATTCTTTATGCTCTATTTGTCTGCCCTGTGGACAAATTGAGAACTTTTAGGTAACATGCTATCAATGTGAGTTTTTAATAATCCTAATAGCCATGGCATTTTGCTAACCTGCTGTTTAAATGTATTTAGGAAATGAATTGGCTTTTCTCCAAGCTGGCTAAGCAAAATTGGGTAAACAAATTCTGTAAGCTATGGTAAAATTAAACTTTCTGGCACGTTAAATTTCAACAATGTATTTCAAATATTTATAATTTTGCATCAAATGTATAATAATGCATCAAATCTGAATGATTATTGCTGCAAAGCTAATAGCATTTTAGAATTGTCCAATAGATTTTTTCCAAGCATAAGAATCTTACAAAATAGTTCTTTTTTGTGTATGGTCTAATTATGCTAGGAAAAGCAGATTCTGCCCATTTAAAGAGTGCGTTTAGTCTGAATAATAAGAAACTTAGGAATATCACCTGTAATAAGCAGTAATTTCTAGTAAGTTGTTTTTTAAATAGCTGTCTGTGAAATTATAATATACTTCCTAATCTGCAGTATTTAACAGCAATGGATGTTTTAGTAGATCTTAGAGAAAGTAAAATTCTCAGTGTACAGATGGGACAATGTAGGATATGACCATGTATAGTATACACTTCAGACATAGGTTTTTCCAAAGATTTGTCTTTTGCAGCCTACATGACAGGCGGTATATAGTGTGATCGGCTGTAATGTAAAGCTACCTAAAGCTTAATGGCATAATCGCTATCTCAGTCCGTGCTGCTGAAAAAATGTCCAAGACACGTATTTAAAATCTCCACTGGTATTTTCCTTCCTAGCCACAAAAATCTGTGACAAATTTTGCAGGATGACTTCCTGTAGACAAAAAAAGTTTCTTCCCAGTAGCTCTGCAGATCCATGTGCTGCATTCCCGACTCTCATCTGTCTGGGAAGCAGTATCAGTCTATTTATGCTAAAGGACTAATAACATAATATACCTGATCCACAGACTGTATTACTCTTGTCAGGAGCTCTGGAGTTGTAATGGTTCAGGGAGCAGGTATGTCACTTCTGATCCTGCAGCCTCGTTCCCCAATCCTTTTAGGTACTCTAGGATGTCTAGTACAAAGTGCATGCAATTAAAGCTTTTTTCAGGTCGGGTGCAATACATATGTTTAATATGTTGCTCATCAGCAAAAATGAATATGCCCTTAAGTTACATGAAATGTATTGAGGGCTTAGTCCTACCAGACACTGGCAGGCTCAGTGCTCCAGGGCCTCTGTAACTCACAGGATTCAGTCCTCAGTAGTACAAAGTATGATTATTACCAGGGCTCTGAAGGTCTGGATTCTATATCAAGTTCTGACTCAAGCGCTAATCTGCTTTTCAGTAATATTGGGAAACTTCCATTTTTATTACAATAGGAATCTGAGTATAACTAGAATAGTAGTCAGTAAGGCTCCATTGTGGGTTAGCATCTTGTACTCTGTACAAGACGATGGAAAGCTTCAATTCCAGTTCATGTTTCTCTGTAGGTGTGAAACATAGTAGGTCTTAATTGGTGAGGTACAAAGCAGTAGATTCCTAACACAGTTTAAAATCAGCTTTCACATGGATTTATAGTAATTTACTAGATATGAAGGATTTTATAATATTTTTTCTAGCCAGTTAGATCATATGTTCTAGAAGTCTCTTGGAAAGATGTATGTTGAGGAGCTCAACGTATATTCTAATGCATCTTGATTTCAGAGGTGTAATTTACTTAACATTGCATGTTGATTCAAAGAGTGTTCGTGGGGTCTCCTTAGTGGTCTGTATTGTACTGATTGTTCATAGGGTTTCATATTTTATGTTAATGTCAGTACAGGGCATATAAACTTCTTAATTATCATACTGAATTATGCCACTGAATTATATTAGACATGCTGGACTTTGTTCCCATAAATTTGGGTGAAGGCGGTAGATGGTAGAAGTCTTTCTTTGCTTTCACAAGCTCCACATACTGAACGCACAGTCTGAAAGAACGTTAGTTGTTCATTAGTACATTGTGGACTTCAGTCTCCTTACCAATTAGGACCTAATCCAAGAAGTCACTGAAATCAGTGGCAGTATTTCCACTGATTTCAGGGGCTTTGGATTGTACCTTGTGTGGCTTCTAATGTTAGCGTGTTAAAGGATCCTGTATTAATACTGTGTTTTTCACTTTGTGGGGTTTTATATTTTACCTCTTTATATACTGAGCTGAAATAGTTTTAGAAAATGCAACCAGACCTTCCAACTGCTGTCAGCAAATCCCCGTACAAGAGGAATTTTCTCCTGTTCTGCAGTATGACATCAGTACACACATGTCCAACTTATTAGAGTTCTCCTTGATAGAGTAAAAACTTTGTAGCACTAAAGAAAAAAGGTGAGAACTAGAATTAGCACAGGGTTGGCTGTGATGTTTTCAGGACTTCGGTGCTTCCCTGCAGCCATCTGTTTTACAGTGTGGATGTTAACTCTGCTTCTTGATCATGAGAATCTCAAATGACACAGTGACTATCAAAGGACCATTTGATAGAATTACAAATGATGTGTGAGTGCTAAAGCCGTAACGTTTTTATACTGTCAAAAGGACTAAGCTGATTATTCTGGTTATTTAATACACTGAAAGTATTTTGAGAGTCAGTTTTGCAGACTAGCGTCTCTGCCTGTTCACTGCTGGACACTTTTTCCGAAGTTAGAGTTTATGCCACTTGTTTGTGCAGCCTGATAGCTGAAATGTCTTGTTTGCACAACAGTGCATTTTTAAGATGGGGACAACTCCAGAAAGGCAATACGGGGCGGGGGGGGGACGACTAATGTGCCGCTTTGGTATACCCCCTTTCAGATGCTTGCTTTATCTTCCTGCATACAGTATTTTCTTGTTTCTCTTCCCATGGAAGGAGATGATAGAGGAGGAAAAAATCCCGCTCACTTTTTTTGTAAGGATCCTAGATTGTTCATGTTTTAATAGAGAAATTGTCGTTTCCTCAAGCAGAGAGGTAACTCTGTCTGAAATAATGAACTTTTTTTTTTCTTCATCCACGCGTCTCTCTGTACTTGGTGTTTTTTAAGCATTCCAGCAGTAAAATGCTTGCGTTCCCCTGTGAACCCTTCCCCCCCCCCCTTAAGGTGTAACTGTAAAGAATGTATAACCGGCCCTAGTTCGCATTTATTACGTCTGTAGCCTCTGTATCTAAAACTTGACTGTAGTTTTCTGTAGTTTGCCATTGTAAATGAGAGAAGCGCGTTCTTACCTTTGTAGTTACTTCGCGGACTGTACATGCTGTAAGGATTGTAAATACCGGACTCGATTAAACCTTTGTACGCTGCCGGCG